TTAATGAGGCATATTTGTTCGTATCGCCATATTTTGATCCAAACAATCTGCCCTTAGCCTATGCCCCAATAGTTATGACTCACCCTGTATATGTTTCATACATGACAAATGAGGTTGTTGATGCGAAACTCTCTCAATAGCAGACTTAATTTTTCCTTGAATTATTTAATATAATGGCTATTGGCTGCCACAGAGACAACTGGTAATGATAAAAAGATTGCGTATATTCAGTAGGTACAGAGATGGGTTCAGATGCACCGAAATACCAAAAGAAAACCAACTTAATATACAGGGTGTATCTAAATAACACCGAAAAAATTCAAAGGGCGTTACCTTGTGACGTTCTAGCAAATTAAGTTCATATTAACATGTGCCTAACTTGCTCCGTTTTTGAGATACAGGATGTTGAAGTTGGAAGTATTAATTGTTTTCATTCATCACCCCCCTGTATAAGCTTTCATTGTGCCAAAATTCAGTATGGATGGAGACTGAGGAAGCCCCAAAATTTCAAAATTATTCTAATTGGGGATATTGAGTAATCTCAATGGAAGTTTTGAAAACACCGCCTACATTAAAATTTGGAGTCAAATCGAATTTTTATTAATAATAATAATAATAATAATCTATTCACTCACGGTACAAGTTACAAGTACAATGTGAGCACATTCATAGAATGGCGAATTGTGAATAAATTGAAAATACTTACGAAGCAGGGCAAGTCTGTTTGTGTGTAAGAATACATAGATATCAACTCGGATATCAATCAATATTACAATACATGTTCATGTGTGGAAATAATAATTATGGATATACAAAAGAATGATGTTGGTTTAAAATATATATGTATATAGTAACATAAAAAATATAGATGTGAATAAAAAATATATAAAATAAATAAAATTAGTACAGAGAATATAACTAACTGATAAAACTGAAGAATAAAAAGAATTTTAAATTAGACAAAAGATGATGGATGATATAAATGCATAAAATGATTACGATAATAATTTGAGGACTTGAAAGAAGGTAAGATAAGCGTATACTATAGGACAATTTTTCACATTTATATTTCGATCATCTCGTGTATTTCTGCACGGGAAGTATGTTGAACATAGATTTTAAGTTCATTCTTAAATTTCCTAGGGTTTGGCTCGCATTTTAGTATTTCTGGTAGGCAGCTGAAGAGTTTTGGACCCAAGTAATGATAGTTTCTTTGACCGACTTGTGCATGACTGGTATAACAATACTTTCTTTGTGGCGAGTTCTATAGTTATGACTGTAGGTAATCAATTCGTTTTTGTTTTTATATTGAACTGTAGTTATGTTTATGAAGAATAGTTGTCTTGGATCAAACCCAGACAGCACTGGATATTCATAGAATATTCTCTAAATATGCTAAAAAGGAGGAGTATATTCCGAATATTCATCGATTATTCCTAGAATATATACATGCCTTTGGAACATCTAAAAGGAATATTCCAAAGTGAATAGTCGGACATGTTCAGGGAATATTCAGGTATGAATCTTATAGGAATATTCGCAACTGAATATTCTCTGTTGTATATTCATGGAATATACCCAACTGAATATTCTGTGCGGTATATTCATGAAATATTCTCAACTGAATATTCTGTGGTGTATATTCATGAAATATTCCATGAATATTCCTATGTTCCTCAACACATAAATACCATTTATTATTTCAGAGATGTGAGTATCGAACATCAATTAGATGTAAGGGGATTTTGAAACAAAAAGTGTATATGATCCGATTTCGAACAATGCTCTCACAAGAACTTGATATGTATAACATTATTCAATTCGATTACTGGCCTAGTGGTTAAGGCGTTGCTCTGATAGTCTTGAGGTCACGAGTTCGATCCCTACTTGGGTCACTTTTTTTTATTTTAGAATATGTTTATTGGAATATTCCAGGAACATTCAACATAGAATATTCTTTTGGTTATATTCTATGATTATCTGAGGAATTCCCATTCGCATATTTAGAGAATATTCCACAGATATTCCGGAATATTCCAGATTATTTCTAGAATATTCCAATATTCCAAAAGGAATATGATAGGGAGATTCATGGAATATCTGGTGCTGTCTGAATATTGCAGTTTCCGTGTAGAGGAGGTTGGTAGGATAGTTGTATCTTTTCTGCAGAATACATCTCAAGAAACGTTTTTGAATGACTTCGATGGAGTGCAGATATGTTTTAGAGACTCCCCCCCAACCAATTATGCCGTAGCTCAAGTGAGATTCTACCAGACTTTTGTACAAAATTATTTTATGTTTATGGTTGAGTACGTCAGTTATTTTTTTGAATTTGTACAGAATGCATCGAAGTTTTTTTACAACATGTAATACTTGTTGGTCCCATCTTAGATGATTATCTAGAATTATTCCGAGGTATTCGATTTTTTCGACAGGTCTGATGGTGGTCGTGTCGGATATTACTAAGTTATATTCTGGCGAGGATATATCATAGCTACTGAATGGTAAGTAGTACGTTTTGTCGAAATTTATCGATAACAATCTATAGTCAAACCACTTCTTTATTTTACTCAGATCGTACTCTAGCTTGAGCTTCAGATTGAACCAGTCATCGTCTTCGCAGAATATGACTGTATCATCAGCAAAGCTAATAATTTCCGAGTTGATATTCAGTAGAAAGAGATTATTCAGGTAAATATTGAATATTGAATATTGTTTCCTTGAAAACTAAGCTAGATACAAAAATCACACGAAAGATACAGAAGTGGTTATTTCAATAGTTCAATCTAATAAGAATATGAAACTCAGGAAAACCAGTGGTGTACAATGACATTCACCATGAATATCGACAAATTTACCCATTGTGACGCCACTGGAAATATCATTTCGAATCTAATTGCACTAGAAGGAGCTCCATACTACTATCAACAAAAACACAACGTTTTATTGAAATTAATGAAAAGACAATCGAGAAATGAATAGACAGAAGATTTTCCATTGAAATATTAATACGAAACGAAACGAGTTAGGACACATGTATATATGAACTTTATTTCCCTCGTTATTTCCTAAAATATCACAAGGAATCTCCCCTTGAATTTTTTCGGTCCTAATTAAATACACCCTGTAAATATGGAACGTCTTCCAAGGAAGCAACAATCATCCTGGAATGAACCCTCTAAAGGATTTGAATTCTTCTTCATCCTTCCTTACCCTGTTCAATGCGCTCTTTGACATTTTGAAATTGTCTTTCTCTCTTTTGTATTGAACCTCCAAATATCTGTCACTGTATAGAACAACTATTGGAATACCGGACTGCAATTTTTTACATCAAATCAAAGGAAACTATTTACTGAACTCGCTTATATCAACGAAATTATTATAAAACGGAATTATTTGAAAACTCGAATTTTGAAATTGAAGGGGATGATTTCTCCTTTGCGAATATCCGAACGTGTGCCGTGACTCAAATTGACCTAGGTTAGTGGCAGAGTGGCAGAGCATCAATACTTCCGAGAATATTTAGCCCCCTTCCAATAATATGAAACGCACGATACCAATTGAGGGTTAATTCGAGATTTGTTGCAATTAACAAATCAAACTCAAAAACCTGCCAGAAAAGGCAAATTTTTCCGTTCGATTGCCATCTCATCAAAATTCTCATTAAAATGGCAAGTTTACTCCTAAAACAAAGCTCTCGTGTAATTATACGAAAATGGTGACAGCTGATGAGAGTGATAGAAGCAGTGTCACCGGCCATTATCTATAGGTCCCACAATATTATACAGGGTGATTCAAAAGTGAGCGGCATCCTTTCAGGGGCGTATTCCTTGCATTATAAATCAAAAAGTTCCTATTAATGAGGGTCCGAAAATTCTACCTAAGGGAGCTCGCCCCTTTGAATAGGATACCTCAAAGACATTTTTTTCTCTAAAACTTTGAAATCCTTCAGAATAAAATTACAAAAATTGGCATTTGGCATAAACATTTGATGGTTGATAAGATTTAAAATTTCATTCAGGAGTGTCACATGCGGAGGAGGGTAAGTATAAAAACATCCCTTCTTTGTCTTGTTTCTACAATTATTACTTACCAAACGCCCTCCCAAACATAATGTGAATATCAGCTCGTTCTTGATGAGTGAAATCCATTTTTGCTCTTTAAAAACACCAAAATCATTGATAAATAATTTGTAAAATACTATGAAACTGACTTCCTTTCGACGAAGTGAATCGTATTCAACAATGACATTCTCCAGTCATTTGAGAATAAAATCGATCGTCAAAAAATAACAGACCATTTTCGTTTCAATGCGTATCTTTGGTAATGCATATTGATTTACGTCAGTAAACATACGCGTATCGAAAAGTTTTCAAAGTCGATTTTCTCCTAAACGGTACGATCTATCGAAATGAACTAAGAGTACATTTTTAACGTGGAAAACTCTGGAATTCTTTAATTTTCAAACAAAATCACAATTACCTGAATATCAAAAGAAGAAGGGATGTTTTTACAATTACCCTCTCCCACATGGGCGCCCCTGAATGAAATTTTGTAATGTCGAATCCAGAGTCTTATTTACCATCAAATGTTTATACCAAACGTCAATTTCCGAAAATTTATTGTGAAGGATTTTGAAGTTATAGAGAAAAAATCGTTTCTGAGGTGTCCTATCCAAAGGGGCGTGTGACTCCCTTAGAAAGTATTTTCGGACCCTTATTAAAAGGAACTTTTTGCCTCATTCTCATGCAAGGAATACGCCCCTGAAAGGATGCCGTTCACTTTTGAATCACCCTGTATAGAAGCATATTCATATTTATACTAATTATAATCACAGCATTGCACATTTTATCTCTAATTCCGAACTGGGAATTAAGTACTGGAAGTGACAATACCTAGTTCAAGGTAACAATTTCAAATATTTTGAATACATATAAATTTCGTACAAAACCAAGAAATCACCCACCTGTGAAGATTATGAAACAGTGCCTTTTTTGCAGGACAGATGGCGCTACCGGCGACAAACTCGTTAATGAAGTAATCCGGAATGAAAACAACTTCAGGAGAAGATCCTGCTACATCATGCAGAACGACGATTTGCAACCATTGCTGACTGTACACGAGGCCATGACAATAGCGGCAGACCTCAAAATGGTCTCCAAAAAAGACAAAATAACGAGGGTAATTAATGTATTGGTTCTATATAGAATCAGCATCGACACTAAAATCTCAGAAAATACATTTTCATTATTCAACAGGAGAAAAAACGAACTCAAAGTCGGTCGACCACAATATTTAATATAAAAATAATCAGTGTGTGACTATAGTTTCGGCTCTACGGCCATCTTCAGACACAATGAAAGAGTACCTAGAAAGTTACAAGTAGTACAGATGTAGAACAAAATGGTAGCTGAGAAAGAGTTGACATACCTGTTATGTAGAAAACATCTTAACAATAAAAAATGTATATGAATATCGGGTCGTTATAAGAAATGATCAAGCCAGCCTCACATTCAACAAATTTTGTAACCGCTGAAAAGCCAAAAGAACATTACTATAAGTAAGTTCAGCATCAGGAAGAAAGGAAAAAATTAATTTGGAAATCTACACAATTGAGCTTTATCTGACTGCAAACAAACAAACCATCGACAGGAAAGACACAGAAATGTAAAAATTGAAAGTAGTAATTTGACATTGACATGACAAGATTGACAATTTCAAACACAGAATGAAACATTTTTGAATGACAATCAATCATATGAAAAATGGGACTCGACACCCAAAAGAGACTTAATAATGAAAATTCGGAAATTATATAACATCAAATAACAATGCAAAAAACATTTGGGTTGACAGAGATACAGTACAAAGTTGTACTCATTAGCTTGACACAAGTTTGGTTCGTCTTCTTCTCATTTTTAGCATGAACAGTTTACCTTCTTCTTTATTTATTGGCAGTTCTTATCACCGTTCCGCGTGTATCTCTGTCAACAAGAGGGTTGAACTATGGAATATTCATTTCACGTAAAAAGATGTCCCCCTCCATATAAAAATAGACCTGTTTCGTCAATTTTTCGTAAAATAATAATTCTGGGAGATATCGAGGGTGGATAGTCTTAAATGGTACCTATATTTCGAGAGGATGTAATTCAATGCTCTGCATGGGATTACCAAGAAAAGTACCTATGTGTTTTTCTTCCGTCATCTACCATTGTTGTTCATTTCATGAACATTTATGAAAATTACTTTGAGTTTTCGTATTAATTCAAGATTTGATTCCAATTTATGCATTTTGGTTATTTCGTATAGATGGTTTCTGACAGGGCCGGATGAACCCTATCAGACCCCTTAGGCAATGATATTATCGGGGCCCCTCACCCCTTTCGTTTATCCTTTTTTGATTTTTTTTCGAATTTCCGTTGTAATTGCAGATATTTGTATTTTATTTTGAATACGTCATTCCATGTTTCAATTTGACACAATTCGTTCCAGCATTCATTGGATTGCAATCATCCATCGTTTTATAAATTGATCATAATCATCTGAAAACAGAACAGAATCATAATCATGATGGATCAGGAAATAGAAATGAGACGCGACGCGGTTATATAAGGATATTGAGGGAGTATACACATTTTCAAAAACAAACTCGTTGAATGAAATGTTTTTTTTGTTCGTGCACGGGGCCCCTAGTTGGTGCAGTTGCCTAGTCTGCCTTATGGAAAATCCGGCCCTGGTTTCTGATCTGTCTATTCTCTTTTGCTTTTTGTAGGTGAAGGAACTGATAGTATCGATGGGATTATGGGAACATAGGAAAACTAGAACAAATTCTCTATCAGGAGGTCAACGAAAAAGACTGTCGATAGCCTTAGAACTTCTGAAAAATCCACAGGTCATGTTTTTTGACGAACCAACCAGGTTAGTATCTAGTCATTGTATTCTCATTTTGTCCTATATGTTTTTCCATTATTATTTTTATTAATGAAGATGAAACAATAAAGTTTCGAAACGTCGACAATTTAAAAATTGGTTTTTTTCAACATTTCGACCGAATTTCCGCGAACTCAACACCAGAAATTATTTTCATTATTACTCTGGTAGTAGTCCATGCTCAAACTGGAGGTGATCAGATAATTAAGAGAACAAACTGAAAGTCTCGCTCCAAGTGGATTTTAATAAAATAATATGTGCTACATGTTTCGACTCCTAAAAGTCATTATTAGGATAAAGTACAAAAAACTTATATATAAAGAAAGTTCCATCACTATTGGAAAATGGGTGACATACCTTGCTAGGTAGGAGGAGAAAGGAAACTATAAAATTGATAACATGGTTCGTAAGGGTTTTAGGCCTTAAAAAAGTACAATTGCCGGTAAGAGGGCAATGAAGAGGCAGACTCACTTGCCCGAGCAGGAGCAAACAAAGCTCTTAATGGCCCAGAACCCTTTTGTGGTATTGCGAAAGCTATACAAAAGACTAGTATCAAATCATGGATGCAAACTAAATCTCTAGAATGGTGGAACAACTCGCCAGGAATGAGACAGGCAAAAGAGTTTATTAAAAAACCATCGCCAACATTCACAGAATATCTACTAAGCCAGAAACGAAGTTCAACTAGAATACTAGTGGGACTTCTCACAGGGCATTGTATAGGCTCAACAAACACATGAGTACGATAGGTCTGACTGAAGAACTGCTGTGCAGGTTTTGTCAAGAAGAGGAAGAAACAGCAGTACACATACTTTGCCACTGTGAGGGCTTGTCAAGACTAAGGTTCCTTACGCTGGGTGAGGAAGAACCAGGAGCCCAGAGATACACAGGAGATCTGAAAGCTAGCCTATGGAGTCTCATAGAGAAGGCAGTGTGGAGGCAGATAGCCCGAAGGCCCCATTCCAAATCCAATCTAAATATAAGGGTTTTAGGCCCCAAATAATTTTAAAAAACATGTTTGAATTCTGGTTTTTTGAACCCCCCTATAAACATTTCTCTCAAGATGCTTCTTTTTTGTATCAAATAAACATAGTGTAAAGCAAATGGCGCGAGTATGAAGTAAACAAACCGTCAGACTACTTGATTCGAAACTTTCGAAAGATAAAATGGTAGATGAACATTATTTTCTGACAAACAAGTGACAAATGTCATCTATCAAAAACACAAAACATTGAAGTTGACTAAATGGACCATACATCAAAGTTCATAACAAACAAGAAAATGTGTCTAGATTGACTAAGTCGGGTATTTAAAATTATACATTAAACAAACAAACATTAAACAAAAGGATTGCTAATGCAACCGATGAATGGAGAGGAAGATTACAAAATGGAATTGAAAGTGGATAGGCAATCAAATCTAACTTGTTCATTAAGACAGACAGTTGAATTTGAATGGGCAGATCTATTGATTTCTAAAATTTCCAGAAGGTTAAGTTTTTTGCCTTTAGGATGAACATGTAGGACTTCAAAATCTTCTAGTATATTATGTTTGTGTTTATTCTCGAGAATATGGTTTGCGAAAGAAGATGTAGTGTTGATAATATCAGAGTTACTATATTTGTCAATTGTCTTTTTATGTTCGAATCAAGTAGTCTGACGGTTTGTTTACTTCATACTCGCGCCATTTGCTTTACACTATGTTTATTCGATACAAAAAAGGAGCATCTCAAGAAAAATGTTTATCTGGGGGTCCAGAAAACCAAAATTCAAAAATGTTTTTTAAAATTATTTGGGGCCTAAAACCCTTACGAATCATGTTATCAATTTTATAGTTTCCTTTCTCCTCCTACCTATCAAGGTATGTCACCCATTCTCCAATAGTGATGGAAGTTTTTTGTATTTTAGCCTGATGATGACTCCTAGGAGTCGAAACATGTAGCACATATTATTTTATTAAAATGCACTTAGAGCGAGACTTTGAGTTTGTTCTCTTAATTATTTTTATTATTATTATTTTGTGCAAACACAATTTGAGTTCCATAAAGTTATGAACGTATATTTATCGGATGCTGACTATATGAATATTCTGATATGCGATGGAACGTGTTTGAAGTTATTACCTTGCAGTAATTGAAACTATGTTTATGGGTCATTAAAAGTAACTGAACTTTTTTCGATCAAAAAGAGAATAATTGCAATTTTTATAGATATTTTAGTATATTTCGTTCCATTTCCATTAACAATAAATCATCTACAGAATGTGAATCAAGAAGGAACTACTTCATTGAAGGAAAATGCAAATTCTCAACTACAGAAGATTATATTTTCAAACTCTTATAGTGTGTGTTCAATAGTTATGATTCAATGTTCGTCGTAACATATACCATGAAAGTAGTTGTTTTCTGTCGAATATACCGAAAAACAATCATTATTTTCATCACATAGAGAATACGAATTCTAAATACAATTCTTTATTGTTTTCATGTTCATAATATGTATATCTGAAAATATTGAAAGAAAAAAGGAAGCATTGTATTGATAATTATATTGTACACTTTAGGGAACCAGACGGTTATCAATTTTATTACAATGTTAATTTGATTATTGAACAGCAGAGATACAGAAGATATTTAGAATGATAAATCAAATCTAATATAATCTTTCGAAAAGAAGGATTAGAAAAGATAAGATTATACGATGATAATGAAGGTGATAAATAAATGACGAATAATAATTGTTTGAGGGGATATACTGGCACATGCAACATGCCGAAAAGTAGATTGAAATAAACAAAGGTAGGTACTCAGGAGGGAGAATGATACCGGGTGACACATTGTATCGGGCCACTACTATATAACTGCTATACATTCGTTGATTGATTTTCCTGAAATTTTGATTGGGAATGGCCACTCTCCCCTACCACCCCACTTCATTTGATTCATGACTCATGGGACACCCTGTATAACTTTAACAAATTTCAGAAAAATCCGTTCAAGAATAATGGAGTTACAGGGGTCGCCCAATAATATTTGTCACCCGGTATATTTTTTATGAATTAGATTAAAAATTCTCTCGAAAGTGTTTCAATTCACCGTATAATAATAAAATTTCATCACACAATTTATTGTTCGATAGTTACTGCACCAAAATAGTAGATTGTTTTATTAGGATAAAAAGTGACAATATGTTTGACAAGCGAATTTTGCATTTTCGAGGCGGAGCGTTTAGTGAAGCCGAGCAAAAGCAAAATTTGCGAGTCAAACGAAGTCACTTTCGATCCGAAACATGCTATATTTTCTGCAACCGAAAGAATTAACTCAAATGAATATGTGAAGTAACAACCACTACGTGACTTACTTTACAGATTATTATAATACCTTGATTATAATGATATGGGTAAGTAGATAGAAGCAAGACCTCAGACTAATTTACATTAGAGTATTGGTAGACGATGACTTTACTTTGTTACCACGTGGATGCCGTGCCATATGTATGCAATGCAACATGCAACAGATAATCCGCGTGGTGAGAATATTCTACCTGCATTCACAGATCAGGTTTACTCAATTTTTGAGGATGTTCGCATTGTAGTTTCAATATAAATATAACCACAGAATGACTCATTTGTGTATTCTATTGAATTGATGAATCGATTAATTAAGTGCCAGATATAAGAACATAAATGGAAAATGTTAGATTAGTGAGCATATCAACAATAATAATAGCGATTATTCATGTCTCTGCATATTCCACTGTGTTTGGCTCGGTAATCAAATGAAGTTGAACAATATCGTTATGCGAGACAAAAAAGTATTGCTGGCCGTGATTATTCAAAAACAAGTCTAATCAATCAGATCCCGAGAATGAATGGAATACAGATCAAGCAACTATGTGAATCTTGAAGGTTTTCCTGATCAAAACAAAAATACCTAACATATGGTGTATTTATATCTCCAGCATTGGTATGAAATGCCGAATCTGCCTAAATCGGTAACAAATCAGGTACGCGTCCCAACCCAAATAACCAACCATAACAATGTTGTTTTTCTGCAACCGACACAAAAGTCGTCCATTTCAATACCAAAATTAGCTCTCGAATTGACGTTCCTGTCACTGACACAAAAATAGGTTTGTTGCTAGGCAACATATTTAGTTTCTAGGTGCTAAAGTTGAACTTTAGGTCCTAGAAGCCAAATTTGAACTCTAGCTCTGAAATTACATAAAATGCCTCAAATAAATCCTGAACAAGTAGCTTAGTTGCGTTAGTAAACGATGGGCGTAGTAAACGTTACGCCGCTCGAGCAGTGGGAGTTCATGAAGCAACTGCTCGTAGAGCAATCCGCAAGTACGAACAAACAGGAAGCACCGCTCGGAGGGTCGGTTCTGGTCGCCCCCGAAAAACTTCTCCAAGAGATGATCGCTTCTTGAGATTGCGGATTTTACGGAATCGATCAAATACTGCGGTAAATGTTCAGCAAGATCCTCGCCAAATTCGTGATGTTGCAGTAAGTAAGCAGACGGTATGTAGACGTCTAAAATAAGTTTATTTAAAAGCTAGGAGACCTGCGAAAGGTCCCAAGTTATTGCTTGAACATCGTGCTGCTAGAAGAAATTATGTTGAAAATTATGGACAGTGGAATATTCCTGAATAGTCGAATGTCTTGTTTGCGGATGGGTCAAGGTTTTGCCTCAACATCTTGGATGGAAGAAAAAGAGTGTGGAGAAGAACTGGTGAACGGTTCAATCAAAATTTAATAACAGAATGCGAAAGTTCTAATGGTGGGTCCGTTATGGTGTGGGAAGGGATTTCAATGAATGGAAAGACACCCCTTCATGTTTTTCCGGTGAGGCAGTCGATGAATGCCCAAATTTACATCGACATTCAAGAGCAGTATGTCTTACCTTATGCAGAGTTAGCGGGCAATAAATTTATATTGATGCAGGATAATGCCCGACCACAAACCGCAGCAATAGTGCGAAACTTCTCAGAAGCTACTGGTATACCACATTACAATGGCCTGCGAGAAGCCCCTATATGAATCCTATAGAACATTTATGGGAGGAATTAGGGAGAAGGGTACGTTCTCGCGAGAGGTCTCCGGAAAGTCTCGCAGAAATAGCAGATGCAGTGGAAGAATGGTTTCGTATACCAATGGAAACGATAGGCAACTCAATTTCCAGTATGCCTCGTAGATTAAAAGTTCTTAGAGTTGCTAGAGGAGGCAATACACGGTATCAAGCAGTCATCCCAATTTATGATTCTGTGTTTGATAAAAATGTTTTTTAAAATTATTGGTATCAGTTTATTTCATTAGAAAATTGTTTCTCGATAAATTCAGAAAGTTGGTAATCTGCAAGGATTCAGCAAAAAAAGCTGTAATTCGGGAAATTTTAGAGATCAATCAATGAATAAAAAAACAAAATGCTCGAAAAAGAAGCCTCTTTCGTATAGGATGCGAGCACTTTTTATGCCATTACTCAATTAACACACAGGGTGAGTCAAAAATTAAGAATAAATCATGGTTCGAGTTATTCCACCACCATCAAGGAGGCTTTGAGAAAATTTTCAAGACAAATGCATTAAGTACCTATCGATAAATTAAAAAAAAAAAAAAATCGGCCAACTATATTTTTTTTCAAGAAGATAGGTCAATTATCAAGTTCGTCACTTTTTTTGGAACTGAGTGTATTTATATTGAAACTACAATTCGAACATCCTTGGCAATTGAATAAACCTGCTGTTAATGCAAGTAAAACATTCTCACCACACGGATTATTTGTTGCATTGCATACATGAGGCGCGGCATTTGTGGTTACTTCACATAATTATTTGAGTTAATTGTTTCGGTTGTAGAAAAACTAGCATGTTCCATTCCGATCAGAAGTGACTTTGTTTGACTCGCAAATTAGGCTTTCGCTTGGCTTTTGTCACTTTTGATCCTAATAAAAACATCTACTATTCTCCACTTATCTAATAAAATAATTTTTCCAGTGGATTGGACAGTCTCAGTTCCAAACAGTGTGTGCTGTTGCTTAAGCAGATGGCCCTTTCTGGCAGAACCATAATTTGCTCGATCCACCAACCAAGTGCCACTCTTTTCCAAATGTTCGACCACCTGTACGTCTTGGGCGAAGGAAAATGCCTGTACCAAGGTTCGGTGAAGGGCATGTTGCCCTACCTAGAGGCACTGAGTCTAAAATGTCCGACTTACCACAATCCTGCCGATTTTCGTGAGTATTTCATCACCATTCATGATCATTGGTAGTTTTGTTGTTGTTGTTGTTGTTGTTGTTGTTGTTCTTTATTACCCCAAGGAACATCTTTGTTTTTAATTGGGGCATGGTTCAAGAATCAGAGAATTCTGATCACCCTGTATCTGTTCCAATTAATGTCAGTAGATAGTAAATCAAAAGTTGAGATAGAGACATGTGAGCCGTTTTGACCAATAATGAATAGTTTCGACAAAAAAGATCCTAAAGTTGAAAAATCTCGATTTTGAACACCCTATATATCTGTAATCTTTCCCGCTAGACCTCAAGTGTGATACATCGTTGTATTCAGAAAAGAAATCTTTATTAGAAAAAAAAATTAAAAAATATATAATGGTATTTGAAAAAAAAATTGACAATCGGTGGTTATAGTTCAAATTGGAAAAAAAAAATTGTTTGCGCCACCTTGTAGTATCTCATGAGTCTTTTCATTTGCTTTCTTGCTTTTCAAAATCGGATAATGAATGCGGCGCTACGGATCGGGGCGTTTTTTGTCAATCAGCCTGTAAACCGGTATAACTCAGAAATAAGGAAAATTAATAAGTTCGAGTAGATAACAACAAAGTTTATCAATAACATGTACTTTTGCGTGCGCGTAATTTCAATGTCGGTGCAATCGATTTATATTTTCGACGCGTCGCGACGCTCAGCTCTTAGTAGGTGTCGAATTGTTTAAACTTCAAAATAAAGTCTACTTGACCCCATCCATTGACTACTTTTTACAGAAATCGATTATTTCTATTCGTTTTCGAGATATTGGCGTGCGGAGTTTTAAGTGAAAAACCCTGTATACCGAGATGTGACGATTTTGATAAATACACCGCCAGAGACAGAGATAATGGAAAAAGCTGCGAAAGTTGGATTTGTTTCCGGAAATTTCAAGAAAAGAGTATGGATTGGCATATAGGTACGAAAAATTTATGGAATCTGAAAAAACACAGAAATTAAATCTTTTTCGGAAAGTGTACTTTTTTGAAATACTTTGAGGAACTAGAAAATGTGTCTACTTTATGGTCACAATATTATGTGGCATAGTGCCACATTATAAAATGAATACCAATAAGTTATACATTTCTCGGATTCTTCGAATAAGTGCAGTTGTAGAAAGAGTATAGTGTGCAACATGTGGGGAAAAGCACTTTCCTCACTCGTGCGTTTGCATCACTCGCCCTTTAGGCTCGTGTCATAAACTTTCGCACTCTCATTCCGAATTAATCATTATGTTTTTTATAGATGGTCATTAGCGTTCAGCTAATTTTGGTGAAACACTCCTGTTATTAGGTAATTATCCTGTTGGAGGTATAATTATTAAATAAATAAATATACCGATCGTACATAAATAACAATTAAGAAACCATAGTTGACGCGCTGTGATTTACTGTGTTGGAATTAGATAATGTTAAATGAGAAACATAAATCACTGGATTGTCAATCGACATGATTCGGAATAGGCCAAAAATTTGTTTCATATTGAAAAGTTCGTGTTTTACTCGTCCAAAATCTCTATCGAAATGAAAATTCATGTTAAAATGTCATTTTGAATGGATTGATTCCAGATACGTGTTTCGCATTTGATGATACGAGAGTAGAAAAACATATTTTTGCATGTTTTCTTGATAGGCCAATTTTCAAAACACGTGTAGATACCTACCAATAATCTATCAATCCACTTATAGATCTACAGATTCAATTCCAATAATTGGTCTCATTAATTCGAATTGCTTATAAGTATTCATAATAATTTAGGAATTTGATATCTTCAAGTCATTGCAATTTGTTGGCGCCAAAAAACTACGCACATATCCAGCTCAATGACCTGAAAAATGGTATACACATCTATTGAATTAAGTACCTACTCACTATCTATTTGAAGAGGTTCGACCATGAAATTCGATTACCTACTGATTCTGGAGCAAATTAGAGAATGTTGAAATCGTTATACAACTTCCCACTTCAATAGGTTCCCAATCAACCAAATTACAGGAGGCTGGAAGTCGAGCCTCATCATTGGGATCTCTCAAACCATCAGATATACAGGGTCGATTAAATTATGGCAAAGTTGCGTAATTTTATGTCTAACAAAATACCGTTTCGAAATTTGGAAAATCACAAATACTTCCAAAGATTTTTGAAAACAAAAAACGAATATCTATTCAATCATTATAAAGTTTTGTGAAACTTGAAGATTCCACAGATATTATAAACTCTTTTGCGAATTTTTTCAAAAGCGTTTACTTAAAACCTGTTTCAAATAACTAGAATTGTAATGATGATATAAATGATGATCAATGCATGTCTTCCATTGAGACAATCAACATACGAAATATAACTGTCAACGAAGTAGAGAATGCCATGAAAAAACTCAAAAATAAAATGACATCTGGTCCAGATCTTATACCAGCATTCATTATCAAAGATTGTAGATTTGCTTTGGCTATTCCACTCATGAAACTGTTCAATATGTCTCTCAAAACTGCCAATTTCCCCTGTAAATGGAAAATTACCAAGGTATGTCCTATTTTTAAGGCTGGTGATAGAGCAAAAGTAGAAAACTATAGACCAGTGTCCTTACTATGCAACTTCGCAAAAATTTTCGAAATAGTGATACATAATCATATCCAAAAATGTACTGTCAACATAATATCCACATATCAACACGGTTTTATGCCAAAACGCTCAACTAATACAAATCTAGTTATCTTCACTCAATATGTGTCTGAAATAATGGATAAGCAGGGACAAGTAGATGTAGTATACACTGACTTTTCTAAAGCGTTCGACCGGATTGATCATGATATTCTGCTGAAAAAACTTCATTATTTTGGATTATCGATCAAAATGATATATTTCTTTCGCTCGTATCTACATAAAAGGGAGCAGTATGTTACATATAACGGACATGCGTCTTTGCCATACACAGCCAGCTCTGGAGTTCCTCAAGGAACAAATCTTGGACCCTTACTTTTTCTCTTGTTCATAAATGACTTGTGCGCCGCACTGGCGTGTGAGAAGCTAGTATTTGCAGATGATTTGAAAATATTCAAAAATGTGCAATCAGCTGATGATTGTTTGGAAATACAAAACAATTTGAATATTATCAGTGATTGGTGCAATTTAAATAGACTACAATTGAATGCGGCAAAATGTAAAACTGTATCATATAATCGAAAACAGAATCCAGTTCTATATCATTATGTAATAAATGATATAGCAATAGTTCATGAGAATTCTACTAGGGACTTAGGAATCATATTTGATAGTAATTTAAGTTTTATCGAGCACATAGACAATAAAACTAATGAGGCTCTCAAAATTCTTGGATTCATAATCAGAAGCTGTAGATTATTTACGGATATGCAAGTAATGAAAACATTATACTATTCTTTTGTTAGATCGAAGCTTGAATACGGATCCATGATTTGGAATCCACACTACCAGGTTCATAGTGATAAAGTAGAGAAAGTACAGAGAAAATTCTTGAAATTCCTAATATACAAAACTACTGGTGTATATCCACCTAGGGGACAAAATTATAAGAATACACACAAAGTTATTAAATTTTTTTTTATCTAGTATATTCGTTATGTAAGTATATGCATATAGTTTGTATGTATTAAATCAATCTATCAATTTGTTAGTTGAATTAGGCCTTGTTTATTCTAGTATTAGTTGATTTATACACTTGTTTTATGTTTAAGTTTCCGTCCTGTAATTGGCGCAAGCTGTTGGACGATGTACCCTTAAATAAATAAATAAATAAATAAATAAATATGGACCTATTGTCACGTCATAACTACCAAACCATAGATCTAAATGACCAAACTTTTGCGTTGCGAACTGTCCGAGCGAACACAAATTGTCAAGTCTCAAAAATGGTATATTTCGCATATTTTCACAGCTTGATGCAATACGGAATAGAATTCTGGGGTAATTCCGTTCGTTACTGAACCACGTTCATTATTCAAAAACGTGCCATCCGTACTTTGTTCAGATTGAACTATCAAGAATCTTGTAGAGGGTATTTTCTTGAAAATAAGATATCACTTTCCGCACTTACTAGGAAAATTACTATCATCTATCTATAATCATCGTTTTTTGTTCAATTTCAGTTCTGGAAGTTGCATCTGGCGAGTATGGCAATTACATTCCGATGCTGAGAAATAAATCTGACAATGGGAAAAATCAAGCATGGAAAAAGAATCACCGGAATACTATCCAAATGGAATCTCTTGATCACCTCGGTAATACCACCACATTTCATCACATTACATCAATAACCCACCCTGTTAGTATGTCACACAACCTCTAAATAAAATTCATTAGAAACGCATTGTTCCAATTGTTGAATAATTCAAGGTGAATAACAATTCCCTGACTGATTCTTCCACCAGCATTTAAATAGGTCATAATATACTTTCCCCGACAAAATTTAATATCGGGCACAAATTAAGTAAATGGATTTCATTATCGTCTATGCATTAATAGCGTCATCATATACATCAAGTCCACAATGAGTTTTGGTAGCTAGGAATTCATTTCACGTTCCGATGGATATCGGGAAAACCAATATGAAAAAACATTAACTATCATTCAGAGTGAGAACGAATTATTTCAATGAAATTGAAAGAATGCATTGTGTTTTGGTTTATGAATATCTGGAGCATTGTGATACAGGCACAAGGTCTCTTAATTAAGACCGCAGAGATCAGGACTCAGAGTAGCTTAATTGAACATTCTTAACTTGTAACATGCTTTGTTTCACTGCTAGAAGTTGCCGAATTTCCAAATGTTAACTCTTTCATGTGTTTTTGTAAAAATAATCTTCTGTAATCGATCAACATCATGATTTTTTGTTGTCAGTAGGTACCTAAACAATAGTTATCCTTTCATTTGAGTTCATTGCTTGATAGGCCATTTTTACTCAGGTAATTTTCGACGAATCTATTGAAGAATTAACTTAATAAAAACAATTGACGTAATATGTATCTTTCCTGCAATGCTCTGGCTGTGATGCTCACAAAATTGTTAGACTCTAGGTAGAAAAACTCTATTGAAAAAAAAAATGCAATATACAAATCACGATACAAAAAACTATTCCCGCTTCATTTACTCTTAAATACCATTCACAGCTACACTCATAATATGAGAAGTACTTATGTCTTTTGTACTTTCGGTTTATGACTTTCACCGAAACAATATCGTATCCATCTATTTGAATAATTTTATTTGAGTATGTATTATTTTGAATTCAAAGCATTTTTTATCAAACATAGACATTCTGATTATCGAGAGACAATTCAAGTCCATCTTGCATATGCACCTATTTGCTTATAAATATCTATTAATTCACTACAATTTTGACACAGTTCTAATCTTCTCCTGAAGATGCCATTATAGCGAAATTAAAATACAGGGCGTTGAAGTTGAGCAATTTAAATAGGTTTTTCGCAATATCTCAAGAAAAATTGAATATAATGCATTCAAATTCGGTATACCTATGGTTTCATCTTTCAATGGTTGATTTTTTGACCAGAAAGACATTCCGAGAATTTCACCTAGAGGTGCGCTACAGAGGGTTGTGATAACTTTTCCTCCCAAATTTTCTAAGCCACTGATGAAATTTCGATTATTTCCAATTTCTCGAATTGATTGTTCAATTATGTTGAAGAGCTGCATCTTCTTCAACTGAGCTAAAGTGAACAGTGATCGAGATATTTGACCCAGAATGGAAGTTTGCATAGTACCTACTTTTTCATCCTTTTCAGTAGTAGAAAATTTTTGTTTTCTCTTTATGCGCGGAATAACTATTTCTGTTCAACTACAGAATGAGATCTGAATAGTATCTAATCTACCCAACACCAGAAAAATATTTTTGCAATTTTCTACTACTGAAAATGATGAAATATTACTATGCAATCTTCTATTTTGGGTCGATTATCTCGAAAACTGTTTATTTCAGCTCAGTTGAAGGTGATGCATTTTCTGAACAAAATTGAACAATGAATTCGAGGAATTGTAAATAATTGAGATTCAATCAGTGGCGTAGAAAATATGGGAGGAAAATTTGTCAAAAAACGAACCAATTAAAGATGAAACCATATACCGAAGTTGAATGCATGATATTCAATTTTTATCAAGATATTGCGAAACAACTATTTTTATTTCTCAACTTAAGCGCCCTGTATCTCGAGAACTGAACAGTTGAAGACCATAATATGTCCCTATCTCAGTGATTATGAAATCACGAGGGCCATCACCTGTCAAACGTTGTCGGTCGAATATCGCAACATCCTGTATATCTATGAATGTATTAATACTTTGATGTAAATTTGAAAAAATAATACCATTTTTATTTATAATTTTCGTGAAAATTCAGGCGGAGAAATGTATAATCTGAAAATAATGAAAGAATGTGAGAAAATTAAAAAAAAACTACTAAAAAAAATCCTTATTATGTTATTGAATAGGTATTTTCTGCTCTATCGAATAAGGGGAAAATATCCACGGGGTTTCATTGAAAATTCTTGACCTAGGTCAAGTTCTGGTAGAACAAGAAGTGGAAGTTCATTCTTTTTACATGGAGAATATTTTAAAAAATGGTGCCCGGTTCATTCATTAATTGGTACTTGAATAAATGATTTCTTCCTGTCACGGGAAGAAGTTTTACATTTCGTCTCTGTTGACAGGTGATAAAATTAAAAATTTTAATAAATTACTCTTTCTCCACCGGAAAAAAGTTCGTACTTTTTTCCTGGATATATATATATATATATATGTTGTGCTAGTTCCGGAAAATGAAACAATAACACACCGTCCCCGAGAAAGAACTGCAAACCACTAACTCCGAATTTTTTTTAAATCAAATCACAGAATTAGACTGACAGATACTTTATTACTTCAAGAATAATGAAGATGCCTGCAACCCCTGCTGTTGAAAACTTCACATTCCACGTCGATAGTTTTCTAATTTTAATATAATGTAATATCTTCTCAATATTGATTCGTCCTCTTTTCTGTCACAGAAAAAAAAATTGTATTATACACAGGAAAAATATTAGATTTTCGTTCACGGTTTTTTGTCTCCCTCCGCTACGTGTGACACACAACCTGGAGCTAAAATCTACTACTTTTTTCCTTGTGAAATATTAATCAATTATTCATTTATTCATCGAATCAAGTAAAATCTACATTTTGTCATTGACAATTACATGTATATACAGGGTGGTTCATGAGGAGACTCACATAGCCAAATGGTTAATAGGAGAAATCAAGACGAGTTGATGTATATATATGAAAACATTTTTTGACCCTCCATAAGGAAGATAGCCAGGTCGAGATTTAAAATTCATTCGAACGATTTTGTTCCATATTTTTTTATTGAACCGGTCAAAGTGTGCCGTGTAAATTGAAAAGCAGTTCTCATAGAATTTTGTCTGATTTTTCTGAATCTGGTGGAATTTTTCGAGAAAAGTGGTCACAAACGACGTAACAATGAAACATAAAATTTTCTCAAGTCCAGACCTGGATATTATTTTTCATAATATGTTATCTTGAAAAGGTTCAGTATAGATACGTCGCTGCCAAATTTCAGCAGATTACGAAGAGTCATTTCTGAAATATCGACCATCAAAATTATATAGCAATTTCCCATAATACCCTGTATCTTCATAATGGAGGGTCAAAAATGTTTTCATATATATACATCAACTTGTCTAGATTTCCCCTATCAACCATTTGGATATGTGAGTCTTCTCATGAAACACCCTGTATATTTCTTATTGTATCTCCTTTACATAGGTTAGTGACCTGTTTGTGAAAGAGATGCATTATTTCACATATAAAATTGTTTTTCCAAAATATAAATATCCAAACTGAATACAAATATTCAAATCACACAGTAATGAGAATAAATTGAAATGAAAAAAAATACTTAGATCATCGACTTTTTTTGCATTTTCTATTAGCCAACTTTTATCTCTTTTTTTTGAAAATATATATAATAATTATATATAATAATTATTATATAATAATAATATAACTAGAATGTTTGTCACAGTGTATACAGTTTTTTGATGATTTTATACTATAAATATATTGAAAAACACAATACTAAAGTTATCTTATTCATATAAAATCACAAAGATTTAGAGAAATGCATAGTTATTCCGACTATATGGAGGATTCAGTTGATACTGTTTTGTGTTCTTCTATAGTAATCGAATAATTTTTTTTCCTCTCCAGGCAACTTGATGCAAAACGGCCTGCTAACTCCCATTCACGCGCCCCCAATACTGCTACCAAAGACACCCAGCTGTGATACTAGTCTAGAAAGCCACCAGTGCTGCCAGGGTTCCTATCCCACCTCCTCCTTTCACCAGTTCAGCGTGCTGCTGAAGAGGACCTTCCTCATCCTCACCAGGGACAGGACTCTCGCCTACTCCAGGATGCTGACGCACACGCTGATTGCCGTTTTTTTAGGGATTTTGTATTTTGGGATCGGCGCTGATGCGTCCAATATGCTGAACAACTTCAACTTCATGTTCTTCACCGTGATGTTTTTGATGATGACGGCGTTCAACTGCATCACGACGACATGTGAGTTCATAGCGATATTTTTTATTACTGCGGAAAGAGCAAAGTGACGTTATTCCACCCAATGTGTCCAAAAGTCTCAGAAAAAAATCCACCTTGATGAACATCTTAGTCATAGTTTCACTTTCCTACTCTCAGGTAAATACGCGACGGTGTTTCAGGCAGAAATTTCAGCAATGAACTAATCGATAAAACGGAACCAGTGCAATCTTCTCGGATAGTCAGGCGGCAACTCAATGCAAGTTCATTAGAAAATAATCTGGGCCCGAATGAACTGAGCACATGCAGAGTATGAGGACGATGAAAAAGCAAATTCACTTGCCAGCAAGTGAAGCAGTGAATAGTCCGCAGAACCCTTATGTGGAATTGCGAGAGCTGAATAACAGATAAGCATCAAATTATGGATGCAAATGGAATCTCAAGAATGGTGAAACAATTCGCCAGGAATGAGACAGGCGAAGCAGTTTATTGAAGAAAACCATCGCCAATATTCACAGAATATATGTATTGTGTGAGAAACGATTTTAAACTAGAATATCAGTAGGACTCGTCGCAGGGTATTGTTGGCTCAACAAACACCTGAGTATGATAGTCTGGGTGAAAAAATGTTGTACACATTTTACCAGGAAGAGGAGCAAACAGCGATACACATCATTTGGCACTGTGAGGGCTTGTAGAAACTAAGATTCCTCACGCTGGAAGAGAAATACATGGATCCCTAGAAACAAATCGGATAAATAATCTTGCTTATAGAGTCTCATGAAGAAAACACGGCTAAATATACCACCTCCTCCTTTCACCAGTTCAGCGTGCTGCTGAAGAGGACCTTCCTCATCCTCACCAGAGACAGGACCCTCGCCTACTCCAGGATGCTGACGCACACGCTGATTGCCGTTTTTTTAGGAATTTTGTACTTCGGGATCGGGGCTGATGCGTCCAATATGCTGAACAACTTCAACTTCATGTTCTTCACCGTGATGTTTTTGATGATGACGGCGTTCAACTGCATCACGACGACATGTGAGTTCATAGCGATATTTTTTATTACTGCGGAAAGAGCAAAGTGACGTTATTCCACCCAATGTGTCCAAAAGTCTCAGAAAAAAATCCACCTTGATGAACATCTTAGTCATAGTTTCACTTTCCTACTCTCAGGTAAATACGCGACGGTGTTTCAGGCAGAAATTTTAGCAATGAAATAATCGATAAAACGGAACCAGTGCAATCTTCTCGGATATTCAGGCGGCAACTCAATGCAAGTTCATTAGAAAATAATCTGGGCCCGAATGAACTGAGCACATGCAGAGTATGAGGACGATGAAAAAGCAAATTCACTTGCCAGCAAGTGAAGCAGTGAATAGTCCCCAGAACCCTTATGTGGAATTGCGAGAGCTGAACAACAGATAAGCATCAAATTATGGATGCAAATAGAATCTCAAGAATGGTGAAACAATTCGCCAGGAATGAGACAGGCAAAGCAGTTTATTAAAAAAAAAATCATCGCGAATATTCACAGAATATGTATTGTGGGAGAAACGATTTCAAACTAGAATATCAGTAGGACTCCTCGCAGGGCATTTTTGGCTCAACAAACACCTGAGTATGATAGTCTTGGTGAAGAAATGCTGTGCAGGTTTTGTCAGGAAGATGAGGAAACAGCGGTACACATCATTTGCTACTGTGAGGGCTTGTAGAAACTAAGATTCCTCACGTTGGGAGAGAAGAACATGGAGCCCTAGAAACACAGAGGATGAATATTCTTGCTTATAGGGCCTCATGAAGGAAACATGGCTAAATATCCCACCTCCTCCTTTCACCAGTTCAGCGTGCTGCTGAAGAGGACCTTCCTCATCCTCACCAGATACAGGACCCTCGCCTACTCTAGGATGCTGACGCATACGCTGATTGCCGTTTTTTTAGGGAATTTGTATTTCGGGATCGGCGCTGATGCGTCCAATATGCTGAACAACTTCAACTTCATGTTCTTCACCGTGATGTTTTTGATGATGACGGCGTTCAACTGCATCACGACGACATGTGAGTTCATAGCGCTATTTTTCATCTCTGCCGGAAAAGCAAAGTGACGCTATTCCACCTTGTGAGTTCAAAAGTCTCGGAAACATCCAGATTGATATACATGTTAGTCATAGTTTCACCTATCTCACCTCAGGTAAATACGCGACGGTGTTTCTGGCATAAATTATAGCAATACATCATTGCATGCAATAATCGATCAAACAAAACCAGTGAAATCTTCTCGGATAGTCAGGCGGCAACTCAATGCAAGTTCATCACAAAATGATCTGGCCCTGCTTATAAAGCTCGAATGAACTGAGCCATACAAAACAGCTTGACTCTAGCATGGTTACCAGCACATGCAGAGTATGAGGACAATGAGAAACCAAATTCACTTGCCAGCAAGTGAAGCAATGAATAGTCTCCAGAACATTTTTTGGTATTGCGAAAGCTAAACAACAGACAAGCATCAAATCATGGTTGCAAACACAATCTCAAGAATGGCGAAACAATTCGCGAGGAATGAGACAGGCAAAACAGTTTATTGAAAAAACCATCGCCAATATTCACAGAATATCTAGGTATTGTGTGAGTTATTTGTTTAACTAGGCAGCAAAGTAGTAGATTGATTGCCGTGGCTGAATTCATAGCCGAGCGTAGCGAGGCTAGGAATCCAGCTAAGGCAGTCAATCTACTTTGCTGCCGAGTAGAACATATAATTTTTTCTCCGATTGTTCATAATGATATGTGAGAATATTGTATTGGCGAATTAATACAATTCCCACAATCTCTTTATTCTTCCTGTATAGTGTTCAATTAAAATAAAATTTTATAGAAATCGCAGTTGTTGGTTTGACAATTCATGAAATTTCTGACTGTTGTGCAAAAAAATATCGGTATATTTAAATTATTATTGTATAATGGACAGTGATAGTGACCTGGAAGTATACTCACACCTCCATTAATAAGGGAGGTGGCAGAAAATATATTGTTGAATTTGTTGCCGGAGAAGTCTCGGATGAAATATGAAGGAAATTATAAACGATTTATGGATTTTTAATTTTGCTGATAGATATCAATCAGCAAAGTACCCACTTTGCTGTCTAGGCAGGAAAAGTAATACTTTGCTGATTGATATGTGTCAGCAAAATTAATATTTGCTGCCAATCGGAGGAAAACGATTTTATTCTAGAATATCGGTAGGACTCCTCTCAGGGCATTGTTGGCCCAACAAACACTTGAGTACGATAGGTCTGGTTGCTGGTCTGCTGAACAGGTTCTGCCAGGAAGAGGAGGAAACAGCGGTACCATTCATATCGCTAATAAATTTTAGAAGGAGTGAAAAGAAGTGCTTTCATAGTGACAATAGGATCATATTTCAGTTTCATAGAACTAAGATGATTGGAATGTTTTGCTAGTGGTGAAAAAAATTTAATAAACACCCTGGTGTATGAATAACTATTGCGTATCTTCAAACACTTTGAGTGAGGGGAAAGATGAAGAGAAATATAATGTTTATCTGTGAATATTTGGGCTCCATTCACAGCTATCTGGAATATTTTTTGATTTCGTTTTTTTTTTCTTTCAGTCCCTTTGGAGTTGCCAATCATCACCAGGGAGCATTTTAATAAGTGGTACTCTCTGAAATCCTATTTCTTAGCAGTTTCTTTCGCAGACATTCCAGCACAAGTGAGTAATTCAAGAACGTATGAAAAATCAATACCTTAAGACTCCAATCTCATTTATGTTCATCCTGATGCGATTTGATATTCAACTTTTCACTACTGCTCGTACCAAATACTTTTCGTGGAATTTTGTGGAAATCTTATCGGTTGTGAAGTTTTTACATTTTCCAAATACTTGGATTGAACTAGCCTATTGACATTATATCTATGAACAATTCATGAATAATTTGATACCACTCTTTATTTACAGTTTCATTATTCCTTAAATATACATTTGTTTTTGAATATGATGTTATAACAAGAGATGCAATGCAGTATTATGGAAACAAATGATAAATATATAACAACAGATCATTGATGATTTTCCTAATAGTTTGAAATAGGTATTCAGAATTTCAGGTTCCTTCAACTAGACATTTTCACTATCTCATCTAGGTTAATCAGTTGGTACATTCTTATTGAGTATCCTGATTAGCCTTCTACTTGGTTCTACACTTGTTAATCATGTTCAACCAGTCTAGACAGCTGATTAACAGCCGAAATGCGTGATGCTTGCCTGACCAGATATTTTTTTTATGTTACAGATGACAGCTACACTCGTGTACTCACTGGTTACCTATTTCTTGACTGGGCAACCTATGGAATCATACAGATTAGGTTTATTTATCGGCATGTGTATGCTGATATCCCTCTTTGCTCAAAGTTTCGGACTCTTCATTGGTGCTACCATGGATATTAAGGTGGGTACATCGTAATCAGGTAGTCCAATATGACCAACCACCAAAAATTACTCCCAGAAAAATTATTTCACATGAAATTGCTGGTATTTTGAGTTCTATTTGAAGGAGGACAATGTTTGACGCGAAGCGGACATTACATACTTCAACCCCCCACTCCCCGGAGCAATCTTGTCTGTAATTTAAATGGAGAATAGGGTTCATTTCCAATATCTCCTGCACCTTCAAGAATCATTTTGTTGTGATTGCCTGGCATTGAGAAGCAAAAAAAAAATTCAAGTCAAATTTGAAATAATAATACTATAATCACAACATAACACATTTTCTCCTATTCTTTTATTCACATTTTATTTGGATAATCTATCGACCGTTTCTGATGCCCATAGTGGAAGTAGAAGATGGTGTGCTTACGCTCATATTATGTGACGTCATCTGGGATACCAATTTCAGCTGCTAGTCACAGACAGATACCGTTGCCATGGGCGTGCGCAATGAATTCAATCATGTTTATTGAAATTTCTATAAGTTTCTCGATCTGTTTAGGAATAATTCAATTTATATAAACAGGTACCCATTCCTTCGATTTTACTATTTCATTGATACTGGAAATTGTGATCTTGAGGTAATTCGCAATCGCAAATAGCAAATACATACGAATTATCATGCATTGCCAATCCCATCTGAATGATCCACTACTGTACCGATTCTGACAGATTAAGATTCAGCAGTTAACGACGTTGACGTTGCTTCTGCTCCGACATCGACAACAGAGTAGTATCAATTTTTGCCGTTCTGTTATTAAAATCTTTGCTGCAATTTATATTTTGTGAGAAATTAAGAGTTTTGAATTCATTTTCAATTATTTCTGACTTGATATTCGCGAAAGATGTTCTGTAGGAATGGCATCTTGTTTCAAATATTTGTGATTTTTTGGAGGTGTGTAAGTCAAGAACCATACTTTCGCAGTTGTTTGGGAACATTTTGCATAAAAATGTTTTGAAGAAATACGTGCAGTAATATGAATGTGATGATAATATGATAGGTGAATACTTTGGAATGAGAATATGAGGAATATAAAGTGAAAGGAATATTCTCAGATAATTTATGGACATACAAAAATGGATAGAGTCTCAATTCAGAATTTCTTTCCACGCCCTGTATAATGAATGTCAATTTATCATACACCCAAAAGCATATATATATTATATGTATTGTGGAATTATTGTTTCACCAGTATCGTTTCAGAGGGAACTATGAAAAATAGAATATTTAGTTATTTGTTTCATTAGGTAGCAAAGTAGTAGATTGACTGACAGAAAAATGACAGAAACAGTAATATGAATGAATAAATGTCAGTTCTACGGAAGCGTAGAAGCTAGATATTTTTGTTGTTTTTTTTTCAGTAAAATGAAATTTTAGATAAATGTCGATGTTTCTAATGGGCAATAAAAACTCGTAGCAATTTTATGTATCCGAACATTTAATATTTCTTAATATTAATATGTTGACATTAAAAATTGGAATAACCCAAGTGAATGATCTGTTTTTTGCAGAACGGCGTCATCTTAGGCCCTTTCGGCTTCCTCCCCTTCATCATCTTCTCCGGCTTCTTCGTGCAACTCAACTCCGCCCACCCCTACATCCGCTGGATCTTCCACATCAGCTTCGCCAAGTACGGCTTCGAGGGGCTCCTACTCTCCATCCTGGGCTACGACAGGCCCAAACTGCCCTGCAACGCCGATTATTGCCACTACAATTACCCCGAAAAGTTTCTGGCTGAGATGGATATGGATGTAGCCAAGTACTCTTCAGCGGTGATGTTTTTGCTGGGTTCCTCTGTAGTCTTGAGGATAATCGCGTATTTCGCGCTTAGTGTGAACATTAAAAGTAACAGAAAGCGGAGGTAGGATTTGTGCAAACACGGGCCCAAACTACCCCGCAACGCTGATTATTGCCACTTCAACTACCCTGCAACGCCGACATTATTGCCACTACAACTACACTACAACTACCCAGGGAAGTTTCAGTCAGAGAGATGAGAAGCTGATATGGTCATGGATATCGTCAAATATTTCTCGGTAGTGCATTAAGAGTAACAAGAATCAGAGGTAGGGTTGGTGCCTGACACAGGCAAGAACTACCCTGCAACGCTGATTTTTGCTACTACAACTACCCTGCAACGCCGATTATTGCCACTACAACTACCCCGACAAGTTTCTGGCTGAGATGGACATGGTCGTAGCTGCGTAATCCTCAGCCGTGATGTTTTTGCTGGGTTCCTCTGTAGTCTTGAGGATAATCGCGTATTTTGCTCTCAGTGTGAACATCAAAAGTAACAGGAAGCGGAGGTAGGGCTGGTGCATACACGGGCCCAAACTACCCCGCAACGCTGATTATCGCCACTACACAGCTACCCTGCAACACCGATACTCTTTGACCATGATGTTTTTGCTGGGTTTCCCTGTTGCCTTGAGGATAATCGCGTGTCTTGCTCTTAGTGTGAACATTAAAAGTAACAGGAAACTGAGGTAGGGATGGTGACTACCTCAGGCTGGAACTATCCTGTAACGCTGATTATTGCCACTTCAACTACCCTGCAACGCCGATTATTGCCTCTACAATTACCTAGAGAATTTTCTGGCTGAGATGGACATGAACATGGCCGCGTATTCTTCGACCGTGATGTGTTTGCTGGGTTCCTTTGTGGCCTTGAGGATAATCGCGTATTTTGCTCTCAGTGTGAACATTGAGAGTGACAAGGAGCAGAGGTAGAGTTGGTGCCTAACACAGGCCCGAACTACCCTACACCGGTGATTATTGCCACTACAACTACCCTGCAACGCCAATTATTGCAACTACAACTACCCAGAGAAGTTTCTGGCTGAGATGAACATGAACATGGCCGCCTATTCTTCGACCATGTTGTTTTTGCTGGGTTCCTCTGTGGCTTTTAAGATAATCGCGTATTCTGCTCTCAGTGTCGACATTGAAAGTAACAGGAAGCGAAGGTAGATTTGGTGCCTATCACAGGCCGAACTACCCTGCAACGCTGATTATTGCCACAACACTACCCTGTGACGCCGATTATTGCCACTAAAATCAACCAGAGAAGTTCTTGTCTGAGATGGTCATGGATATCGTCGCATATTTCTCGGTGGTGCTGTTTCTGGGTTTCCTGGTTGCCTTGAGGATAATCGTGTATTTTGCTCTCAGTGTGAACATTAAGAGTAGGAAGTAGGGTTGGTGCATACACGGGCCCAAACTACCCCGCAACGCCGATATTATTGCCACTACAACTACCCAGAGAAGTTTCTGGCTGAGATGGACATGAACATGGCCGCCTATTCTTCGACCATGATGTTTTTGCTGGGTTTCTCTGTGGCCTTGAGGATAATCGCGTATTTTGCTCTCAGTGTGAACATTAAAAGTGACAGAAAGCGGAGGTAGGGTTGGGGTCCACCTCAGACTTGAACTACCCTACAACGCTGATTATCGCCACTACAACTACCCTGCAACGCCGATTGTTGCCACTACAATAATTAGCAAGAGAAGTTTTTGGCGGAGATGAACATGGATATAGTCGCATAACAAAATATTATGTAAATGTTGGAGACTTGACAACATTGTGCTGACAACTGACAAGACAACGCCCACAAGTCATGCGCCGTGTTGTCACGTTCACCAATTCAAATGTCCTTTATTGTGAAATAATATAATTATTATTAAAACCGATTCATTATATGCATTAGGCGACAAATCAGAGGGACCATTTTAAGACAATCGAATTTTTATTGCTAATCAGGAATATCACAAATACTCAAGTGGGAATTCATGAATTATTGATCAACTAATATTTCTGAAGTTCCCAATCGTATTTCAACATATGGCAACTGTGCTATGGCAGGCTATGGTCAGTTTCAACTGGCGGTAAATTTCTAGCCGTTTGAAACTTACTGTGGCATTATTGATAATTTTAGCACCTGAAAATCGATCGAAAAATTCTAAAAAATATGAAATTGACAGGTATTTGAGTGATGATTCTATTCAAGTAATAAAAAAAAATAGTCCACTCACGTATTATGAGTGAAGCAAGATCCTCTATCGTCTGACGTCTGAGGTGGCACAAGGTCGAAGTATCAGCAAACATAATAATAATTGTTGATTGAGGTAGATTTTTTACTTTAATTTTTGTGTGCGTGTGTGTTATTATGATATGCAAGGATTATTTCTAACGTGATAGGAGCTAGAATTATTATGACTAAGAGGTAACATTGTGATATTGTATTTACCTATGACTATTTTTACGTTCCAGATTTAATATAGCATTAAGTACACGAAATTCATATGGTTATTATTTTGAAAGTATAAATAGGAATCCTTTTCATTTCCTAGACATTATATATAATATAAATTGATTCACTGAGTTTTATTTGTCACTATTTCCTACATAATTCATACTTACTGAAAGTTATAGAATGAAATGCATCCAGTTGTTGAAGAAATTGTTATTTCTGATATGCCTTGAATGGTACAATGGAAATTACTTGAAGATAATGGGCAAAGTTCACTTCATTCAACGAATAAATTCACTAAATGAGTTGTTCTGCACATTACAAGCAACAGAGTTTTTCAAGCACACCTTCAGACGTTCGAGCTGAGATGATATGTGGACACACAGTATGATGACTGAATGTCAGGGATGTCATGGGTGTCAAGAGGAGTTTGTCATATAATATTATTATCTGTCTTGTTATGTTACATGTTAACTGAAATACACTATTTGATCATAACGCTAGATTCGAACCTCATACTATTACTTGCTAGACATAGCACCACACGAGCCCTGTCTGGCCTGTCAGTTTAAGGAACTGTCAACTGTCATTTTCGAATTTTGTTGCAAGCAGAATTATTATGAAAATAATTTCTGTTTGTATTTTGTATCAGAATTCTATGCGAAATGTAGACGAAAGTGAAATCTAAGAGAATGTTTAGGTAGGTACCTATTTGCATATTTCCAAGAACTCTATAGGTTAAAATGAAGCTCTCATCTTTGTGGAAAATTCATTCTATGTTGAGCATGACAATAAACGTGAAACACAATATTCATGTGAGCAAAATTTTGCAATCACAATATGGATACGAACCTGAAAAATCGAAAACTCTTTTGTTTACGTTTGTTCAGTTTCAATTTATATTTGTTAGTTTTGATATCATTCTCGATATGCTCTTGAACAGTTTGAATGTTCATATAAATTTGAAGTTTGAATGCATTTTGGTATCATCTGCATAATCTTGGATTTGACATTATTTAATTGAAGTAAGGATGTCGTTCGTATAAATGATGAAGAGTAGTGGTCCCAAAATGGACCCTTGGAGTACGCCTGACGTTACATTATGAGAAGTCGACAAAATATAGTTGACACATACTTTTTGGCTTCGATTAGAGAGATGAGTAAAAGAAAAATATGGTGTCATCGGAAAATCCTAGATATTTTAATTTGTAACAGACTGAAGTGTGATTGATCGTGTCAAACGCCTTCGATAAGTCAAGTGTAATTAATGCTGTTGAGTCTTTATTATCGGTATTTCTGATGATGTCATCTGTGACTTATTGTACTAGAGCTGATGTCGTATTGCAGCCAGTCCTAAATCCAATTTGGCGGTGAACGACTTCTTCTAGAATCTTCGATATTGCAGGTATTATTTAAGCAGGTATATGGCACCTCACGCCTGAACTCAAATTCTTCACAGCTGAATGGATATACAAAACAAGCATGTTTCCATTCGATTCAGATTCTTGCTCAACTGATGAAAGCAAATTAATACTATATTACACACCCAGGTGGGAAGTGATTCATTCCTGTCGTGAGATTAGTTAGTTAACCGAGACGCAAAGCGTCATATGAAAAAAAAAATTTTTTCTGTGTAACAATATAATTTGGATACTATATGATAATGGCAATAATTCTATGTTTCTGATTGGTGGAACGACTCTATGTATATCTGCGTATATTCGAAATTATTCAAGGTAGCTTAGCTCAATTGAACTTCCTAATTGGTTCAAAATCATAAGAAGAAAATAATCCCTATCATTCGTTCGTATTATGGAAGTCAATACTGAGCAAATATAAAAAAGTTTGTGGTCGTTCATACAATAGTTTATATCAATTAAAATTTGATATGAACTCTCAATGCGTCTTGTCAGTATCTTTATGAGTATAAATATAATCAAGGAAAACTTGCCTTGTTCGTAAGTATATCTATAATAACTGCGTTAAATTAGTAAATATTTCATAATAAACATTCGACTCTATTAAAACCTTCAATTCACTGTTTTTCAGTTCGAATTCTCAATTCATCAAAATTCACATGATATAATCAAAGATAAAGCAGAAAATCTGAATCTTTTTTCTTATAACATTTTTATGCCCCTGCAAAACCAACAAATCATATATTCATTAGAATAATCTGATAACTTTATAGTAGGTATTTAATATCATAGGTAATTACTGAAAATTGAGATAAGGAAATCAAAAATTATACCTAGATTTAGTTCCCACGATTTTTTGGTTGACGTTGAGTAACATGGAATCGCATGTGAACAATATACTAGGTAAGACAGCCACGCATAATATACATTACATTAGTGCAAAAGAAGTTAAAGACATGATAAGGTGGGATATTTCTCGTTGAATAAACGGTAAGTTATGTTCACTATTGTCTATTAGGCCACATTCTCCTAAAAAAAAATGAATTAATCAAATCTTTGATTCGAAAAACTTTAATTCTCCATCCGTTACCCTAATTTTGAAGTTTTGAGGCTTCAGAAAAAGGCATTTAGGCTCATTGAAGGTGCACTGTCAGCCAATATGTCAGCCGAATTCTACCAATACCTTGTGTTCATGAATGCGCTGATTAAACGTACGACCTGTCTGACCGATATATACCTTAGGGCAAGATCCACAGTTGAGTTTGTATACTCCAAATATTAGGACTTGAAAGTAGCATAGTATAGTATAGTATAGAACAAATAACACGTCGGGCAGGTTTATCAAAAATATTGAAGACAAAACTTCAAAATTCGAAAAATCAGGGGTATACAAACTCAACTGTGGATCTTGTCCTAAGGTATACAGGGTGTTTTTCAAGTACGTGTGAAAAATTCAGGAGCATGCTGCATGCTGACTTCAAAATAAGAAGAAACGTTCGTATAAATAGCTGTCCGAAAGTTATTCGTTTCTGAGATACAGAGTGTCAAAGTTTGATTTTTATTTTGATTTTTTGTTAAAAAATTTCAAAATAATTGTGTAAAATGATTGCCTGAAGAGCAGCTTCTTCAATTTCTAGAGTCCTTGTAGTCAACGGCCTGCCTATCACTGGAGCTTTTTTAGGATCAAGACTTTATACGTATGTTTGTCAATAATAAGGATAAAATTCCCCCTCTCCATAAACCAGGTGTATATAAATTATCTTGTTCACATCCCAATTGCAATTCCCAGTACATAGTCCAGAGTGGTAGACGGATTCAAACCAGAGTAAATGAGCATATTAAATACATAGAAAAAGCCACTTTTCCTCCCCCTCTGGGTGTATTTGAAACTGGTAGTTCCTTTTCTGACCACGTTCTCAACTCCAAACACAGTTTCAACGTTGACAATAGTTTAGAAATCCTACACATATGCCAAAAAGGCCGTTTATTAAATCTTTTGGAAACTTATGAGATAAATTTGTCATTAAATAATAATAATGTAACTTCTTTGAATGAACAAACTCAATATGATTGCAACAAATTTTTCAATTCATTGAATTTTGCTAAATAATTGTCATTTGCCATGTACACTTTTTTCTAGATTTTTGGATTGTAAGGTTTCTGATTGTACCAATCTTGTTTTCAGTTTTGTTGCCAATCTGACGTAGTGCTGTGCTATGGTGTTGCCCCCCATCACCTAATCTGTCTATCTATGCAACTAGTTGTTCCATGATCTGGATGACTTGACAGTTGACAGCAAAAAAATTTACTGTTCAGTGCTTCCGCACACGTGATTCTTTTCTTGGTTATTTCCGAAGCCACATCTTTCTTATTATAAAAGATTGATATTTCCAAGTTTAATTACCACTTATCGGTGATTTAAGGGTACCGTGGGCCCTTATTAAATATGTTCCCGACCCCCAACCTCCAACTTTATTAAAATTTTTTAAAAAACATTTTTATCATATAAACAGTAAGTTTCGCTCATATTGATATTTTTCCAAAAAATGTTCACTGTTCCTTTTCCAGATCATGGAGCAATGGCTTTTGCTTGCTCCGTTATTGTTTATTGTATACACATTGCAACATTTTTCACTTCCATGTAAGTAAAATATTATTGTATCATACCATAGGTCAAATCTGTCCTTTTTTAGAACTTTACATTTCCTTGGCTGATGATGGGCTTATATAAGCCCGAAACATGTTCCCTTATATGATCTATGATCATTAAATAAAAGTTGTGGAGATGACTTTGGGTTTTCATCTATGAACGTTATAAAGACGCTGAAAAAGGTTTCTGAATGTCTGGTGATTCGGCAGTCGATAATTAGAGAATCTTTCATTTGGTTGTTGTTTTTTTGAATCGGAAGAGTAGAAAAAAGTAGGTACATAGAAGTAAGAATCATTTTTGCTGATATTCCAATGTTAAATGTAGGAGAATATTGAATGAGAGAAGAAAAATGCACTGGCGTGTACCTTTTCTAATATTTACTACTCAGAGGCGACTTACGAGGCCCATGGAAATAATTCAAACGCATCGATTATTTCAAATCCCAATCACTCGAAAGCAGTTCCTCGCAGCGACCTTTATCAAGAATATATTTTTTACACAAAAGTGTTCTAGCATAAAAAAGTTATGACTTTTCAAAAGACTCAAAAGACATGTAGGTGGCGCCACAACCACAAAAGAGACAAAGTAACAAAAAATTTGATAGAAAATTAGATAGATTTGATCGGAGATATATTTACACGAACTTTTCTTCCTATTTTGACGTCAGTAACATGCCCCCAAATTTTCTACACGTACTTGAGAAACACCCTGTATATCGGTCGTACGTTTAATCAGCGCATTTATGAACATAAGATGATTTTTTTTAAACAGAAAACAAATTCAACATACGCCAACCATATATTAGAAGAAAGACATAGTTTTGATGATAATTTCGAAATTCTACACGTAGAAAATGGGGGAATGGAACCTAATCATTTTGAATCATTAGAAATCAACAAACTCAATAATTCTGACATTTCACTTAACGATCTATTGGATCTCAATAGTTCACGACTGTTGAATTTGTTTTCTTAGTAGGTAATAACAGAGATTAATGTGTATTTTCTATCAAACCTTCCAAGTTAATCCGGTTCACCGTATTTTAATGTAGATATTGTGCCTAATTTCCGAAAATGAAGGTTCATCGCACCTGTCGACATGTAACTAATATTTAAAGTTGGGAAAGCAGGATATATAAAAGTTGAGCAAGCCAAGGTTGATTCAGTTCATCGTACAGGGTGATTCACCATAAATGTCCCCCCCTCTAGCTCATTTATTTTTGAACCGATTCAAAGATGTGAAAAATCATCTAGAATGATTTTTCAGAAATTTTGTTCCCGTTGCATCAGAAAATAAAGGGTGCTCGGAACAAACGATCAACAGAGTACTACTCGATTTTTTCAAATAGAACATCCTGTATTTCATTGTATTTTTAGATTTTCTCTGAAGAGCTGATTCCATCAATGTATCACACTTGGGGTCTAGCGGGAATGATTACAGAGATATAGGGTGTTCAAAATCGAGATTTTTCAACTTCAGGATTTTTTTGTCTCGAAACTATTCATTATCGGTCAAAACGGCTTCAATGTCCCCATCTCAACTTTTGATTTACTCTCTACTGACATTTAATGGGAACAAAAATACAGTTTGGTTCAAGATTCAGAATTCTGATCACCCTGTATCTGTTCCAATTATTAAATGTCAGTAGATAGTAAATCAAAAGTTAAGATACGGACATGAAAGCCGTTTTGACGGATAATGAATAGTTTCGTCACAGAAAAATCCTAAAGTTGAAAAATCCCGATTTTGAACACCCTATATCTCTGTAATCAGTTTTGCTAGACCCCAAGTGTGATACATTGATGAAATCAGCTCTTCAGGGAGAATCTGAAAATACAATGAAAAATAGAGTGTTTCATTTGAAAAAATCAAATAGTACCCTGTAGATCGTTTGTTCCGAGCACCTTGTATTTTCTGATGTAGCGGAAAAAAACTCTATCGAAAATCATTTAAGATGATGTTTAAAATTTTTTAATCGGTTCAAGAATAACTGAGCTAGAGGGGGGACATTTATGGCGAATCACCCTGTACCAGTATATCACCTGACGAAGCTACTGTGTTAGCGTAACATGACGTGTGTTTGAGAATTTTGTGGAAATCTTATCGTTTGTGAAGTTTTTACAATAACTTTTTCTTACAGAAACCACTTCCAGAGACAAAAGTGTAGTCGCTTGTATCAGAAACGTGGAAAACTTCACAGACGAATCGAGACTGCTTTGGGAATACATACAATGCTTCAGAGGGCCGCAATCTCAAGACATCGAGACAGCTGTCATAGTGACAGTGGTGAATTGCATCATTTTCGTCACAGGAGTGTTGGGAAATGTAGCAGTTTGCGTTGTCATCATGAAACATAAGGCGCTCAGCACGCCTACGGACTATTATTTACTGAATTTGGCCATAGCTGATCTCACACTTCTGATCTTTGGTAATTTCATTGTTCACATAGGTATTTTGAAGAAAAATAGTCCAATTTCTAGACGCATGTTCAGAGTGGTCCACGTTCTACAGTGTGTCCATTAGTGCGTAATTTTTCGATATCTCGTAATCCATTATCACTAGAGAAAAACTTTAGAAAACAAATTTCTTCCATTATTTTAAAGGTTCCATTTCAAGAATATTTTCAACATTCAACATTCTGGAAATATGCTGAGGTCAAACTGACCCTTGAGTTGCGGTTTTGTGTTGAAGTTTCCTGTCGATTGTCATATTCGGGAGTGTGTAGTTACATCCACATTTCGTTACTCCCACATCGCGTTGTTCCCTCATTTCGATATGCCCACATTTCGTTAGCCTGACATTTCGATACACCCACAGTCTACGAACCTACCCAACAGGAGGCACTGTTGCCAAATACTATTCTATTTACCAGAATGGGCTTATATCACAAAAAAAACGTATTTCATAATTCGATAGAACTCACCCAAACTAGCTCACCACCGCAAACCGTTTCTTGCTGTGAGCTCCTAATTGTAATCCCCGACTTTTCGGACCTCTGAAAACAAACGAGGCGATGATGTGACGTCAAAACCGTAATACTGAAACAAGACTATTCCAGACAGAGATGAATGATACATGATTTATGACAGAGTGAATTAGCGCGAGATCACAGTTGAGAATATTATTATATCAGTTGCCTCAGTCTCCGTCGGGCGTTTGTATTTTCTTTTAACTATGGCGAGATTAGGTTTCTACGTCATAAGAGGGTCCGTTTTCAGAAGGTACTATTATTTATGTCCAAAAATGAAACATTCCATTTAATTTTTCGATTGAATTATGTCGTCAATCATTATTTATGTATATAAAAGGATCATATTATAAACATGGTTTGAGTTAAAAGTTCTACTAAGGTGTACACGCCCAATCAATGAAACTGTCATTGTGGGCCTATCGACACATCACATTGCGTCACACCTACATTTCGTTACACCCACATTGCTTTATGCCATATACTGTGCTTGATGCGTGATTTTATGAAAAATATTCTTTTCAGGAAAAAGCTCGATTTAGGCTGAGTTAGGTTAGATTGTTTAGAAAAAGTAGTATCCCTTGTTCCCTCAAGCAATTTATCAAAAAATATACTTTTGAGAAAGGTTCATTTAGTCCGAGTTAGGTCAGATTGTTTTGAAAAAGTATAGTATCTTTTGCTCTCTCAAGTAATATTCAGAAAAATATATTTCCTGGGAAGGAGGTTCATTCAGACCGAGCAAGGTTAGAATGTTCAGGAAAAGTAGTCTTCTTTCTTATGCAGGAAGGATATTTTCCTTCCTCATATTATACGTATTCGGAATTCAGGAAGCCATAGAGCGAAATGCTATAGCTAGACGCGTGTACTAGACATTGTGGGCCTAACGCACATTGTGTTACACCCACATCTGGCAAACGTGCATCCTTCGGGTATATGTTCCGAGACAGTGGGAATAAACAAATGTGGGGCTAACGAAATGTGGGCCGATCGAAATGTAGGTGTAACGCAATGTAGGCATAACGAAATGTGGGCATAGAGGCAATGTTTTGTGTAACGGCATGTAGGTGTATCGCAATGTGGGGTTAACGAAATGTTGGCATATCGAAATGTGGGGGCAACGCGATGTGGGAGTAACGAAATGTGGGCATAAAGCAGCGCACCCTAATATTCTCGCGACTTCAAAATGAACCATCCTGAATATAAAAAACCATCTTACAGGTCTTCCTTATGACATAATGTTGTATTGGTATCAATATCCATGGATATTTGGCCAACCTGTGTGCCAAGGTCGGGCACTGATATCCGAAATGTAAGTACAGTATGTTATTCGTCAGTTGATAGTAGGTATACTAGATTAATACTTAAGTCAATGCAAAAAGAATTCATGAACAAAATCATACACAAAATGATACAAATAAGTATGGGCAATTCATTGTTTCACTAAAGACCATCTGATGATATGATTTAATAACTTGTCATATTTTGTCTCTGAATGTCTATAACAATTTCCAAGTGATATTAGGACATTATATTCATGATAAAGTGGTATTTTGCTAGACCATTTCACGAAGCATAAGAAGCATTCATTAAAAAACATGAAAAATCATTTATAATCGAAGCATTTCATAATTATATCGTTGAAAACATCAACGCTGAAGACAAATCAGACTTCAGAAATAACTAGTGATTGGTCAGATTATATGAGAATTTTAACACTTCATTTTTAGGGCTTCCTATGTCTCTGTATTAACTGTCGTCACATTTTCTACTGAGCGTTACGTAGCAATTTGCCATCCTATGTACACTTTGGTAATGTCCAGTCTACGCAGATCTCTGCGCATAATATTATGCATTTGGGTGGTGTCTTTCATATGTGCCCTACCCTTCGCAATATACAGTGGCGTGGATTATATTCCTCACCCAAATGAATCGCAGAATATAATTTTGGTGAGCTTCCAGTCAAAATCTCAATATTCTTCTAGAAGTTTTAAAAATTTTATGTCCATAATCCGAGAGCTAGCTACAAATTTCAACCGTTATCTGATAACGAAATGATATAGGTGTATCCCATCACTATCCTGAGCAAAATGATTGAAACTGGACACTTCGATTCCTGAGCGTCAATATTTTCACTTATTGTGATACCACTACAGGTCAAATTATTTTCGGAAATTTTTTCGAGTTCATGGATATTTTGAAAATTATTCTTAGTCGAAGACGGAAAGTAATTTGACCTCGTGTGGTATTCGGTAAGAAAATTTCACACCAGATTGTGCTTGGAAATTAAATAATTTCAGAATCTATTCAGAATCTATTTGTTCATACCCAAAGTACATGTTCATGGATGAATTTAGTTTGAGTCGTAGTTTCGGCACCAATAATAGATTCCTGATTTCTACCTATTCATCTTATATTAACTTCGGGATACTACAAGTGATAAGAAATTATAATTTTGCCAATCAATTTTTCATAGGTATAGGTACATATTAGTAGTAGTAGAGAAAGGGGAGGCGGTCGCCTAGCAAGTAGGCCCCAGTGAGCCTTTTTTGCCGACCCCTGCTGCACACGTCATGATGTGCACATAATATCTACTATTCCTTTTCTTAATTCGCCTTTTCGAACCTCCGTGGATTTCTGATGAAGGTCAGTAGGTATGTCCGTCCACCTTAGTAATATTTGATCTTCCTGTTGAAACGTATCAGTACCAGAGATTTCGAATTTCAGCCTTCCATAACGCCTTACACTGAGGTAGTGGTATGACATTCCATAATATGATGATGCAGTTAGGGCACAGAATACTCCTGTGGTTAGGCCATCAATGGATATTTAGCCTATTAATTATTGATTTCTACCCAATTGAAGTGGCACAAAATTATCATTTTAGGACGTCAAAATATTCTGTCATTGAAAGTTCATAAAAAAATTTCCGATTTTATACGCTGGTGGGTACACACGAGAAAAAATTGGCACTAAAATACATACGTTGCTATGGTAATTTGCCATGGAAACCCAATTTAACAGTATAAAAGTCACTGGTGTGGAATTTTCAAGGATATTTTGCCCTTGTCGAAAGATAATATCCGATGGACCAGTGTCAACCTCGAGATGTGGATTCGAATACCTATAGTAAGAGAACCACATGCGTTTCACACTGGTTCATCGGATGTGATCTTTTGACAGGGGTCGGAATATTCTCGGAAATATTGACGTTCAGTCACTAACTCAGATCAATTTGAATCGCGGCACGTTTGGGTTTTTGCAAGGGGACATTATCCCCTTTTATTTGTTTTTAGTTTCAACTAGTTAAAACATGACGGAAGTATTGTAGCAAATGAATCGCTGTTTCGTGGATTTGACTCAGATTGAAGGCTGGCACAAGTAGTTTATTGAGATCGATCGAGTCTGGCACCACGGACTCCTCGCCAAGCTTCCATCTCATGGTTTGCCTCCCCAGCTATGTTCTCTGCTAGCTATTTCTCGCTTCAAAAGGTCTCTCCATGTAGTGGTCGACGGAGTTTCATCTGACTCTCTTATCATAAATGCTGGTGTTCCGCAAGGATCAATTCTAGCTGTAACACTATTTCTACTAAACATCAACGATTTGTTGGAAGCAAGTTTATGTCCAGTTCACAGCTTCGCGAATGATACCGCCTTCTCTTCCAGGGCTCCAATACCAGCCGCGAAAATCGAACGAACGAGAGAGAAATGTTGACAACATAAATATGGACTTGGCAACAATTCTCCAATGGGGATCCAATAACTTGGTAGATTTCAATGCAAACAAAACACAAACATGCCTTTTCTCTAGAAAAGCCGATCTCACTGTCCCCAACATAAGCTTTTCAGGAGTAACCATACCTTTGGAGAAAACTTGGTTTTCTGTTTCGGGCCAGGAGCTATTTCACTTCCAGTCAGATGCTTATGATCTATAAGGCACAGATCCGAACTGTCCTGGAATACTGTTCCCATATTTGGAGTGCAGCACCCACACATACCCTGATTCTAATGGATTCTGTCCAAAAAAGGGCAATCCGTCTCGTGGGTTATGATGCCTCGCTCACAAACTCACTCACTTCAATGGAACACCGTAGAAAAGTTGGCGATCTAGCTCTATTTCATAGATATTTTCATGGATGATGTTCTTCTGAAATCTCAACAATTGTTCCTCCCTTGGCAGTCCCCGCGAGATTAATCCGTCGAGTTGAGGCTTCGCACCCCTTCGTGGTCATTTTGGGGACCTGCAGAACATCTCTTTCTAAAGACTCGTTCATCCAACGAATAGCGAGGCTCTAGAACTCATTGCCAAGAGATGTGTTCCCGGAGGCATATAACCTCCAGAAATTCAAGAAGAACACCAATTCCTACCTCATTTTCCTTGGTCCCCACGATGTTCTCTGATCATTACAGGATATCCCTTTTCGTGGGATCCAGAACATAAAAAAAATCTACCATTCGATTGATATCGGATGAAAAAATTCTTTTTTTGTTATCATATCGTGAAATTGAGTGCCAATTACCGCACAGGAAAGTGCGATTTTCCAATCATTTTGCTCAGGATAGTGAATGGCACAGGTGCCATTAGATAAAATACAATGTTTTCATATGTTTCACATTGTCGTTAGTTATGAGATGACGGTTCTCCTTATATCAGGTTGTGCTGTCAAATCTCGAGAATTCAACTGAGCATAAACATGTGACAGGACTGATAGGACTAAATATCATTCACTCATACCTATATCACGTGATAACTCTATTTTTTTCTTTTTAGGAATCAGCTCTTTGTGCAATGATTTCACAGCCAGAAAATATCCCTCTGACTGAAATCAGTACTACCATATTTTTTCTAATTCCCATGACAATAATAATTTATCAATATATCAAAATGGGGCTAGTGATGATACGAAACAGCAATAATAATGGACAATTAGGTGACAGTTTGAGCGGTTGTGTTCACAGAAAAGATAGAAAGTACGAAATGAACAATAGGAATGTAGTGAAAATGCTATGTGAGTATTTTATATCATAGAAAATGCAACTAACATTGAGTTTCAACATGGAACTACTCAATCATGTGACTAACGAAAAATTAGATTATTTATTTCACATGTCAAAGTGTGACGTTCTGGTTGTTTCAACCAACGTGAATGCTTAATTCTAGCCAATCACTTGAGGCCTGGTCGTTTGTGCTTGTTCAACCTGCTGAACTTGATTTTTTTCTATGACTTTCTTTGTTTACATCATGGCATGAAAAGAGACAACTATGGAAAAAAGATCAACTTTAGCCAATTTAGCAATACAAACGAACAGGCCTAGAGTATCATACTAATAATTTGTTAGAAGCAAATTACAGCGATAATTTTTTCATTATTGGATCTTTGCTTACATCAGAGGGGTCCATAGACTGCGCTTTGTTGGTAGTATGTTCGAATTAAGCAGACTAGATGAGTAATCCATAGCCCTGGCAATACAGTTTGTTAGGAACCAACATCTAAAGTGTTCATTTCATGCTGAACAAGGATAGCAACAGCTGGTTTTCCCAGCACCAGTGGCGCAGGGTGAAAAGTCTCTGGTATTATAAATGAATTCGAGACCCAGTTTTGAATAGCAGATAGAATATTCATAACTGTCTGTCAGTGATCCTTCCGCATGTTTTTTTTTTTCAACAAATATGAAATGAATTTCCTGAAAACTTTATTCATCAAATGTATTTTGTATTTTTGTGATTATTTTTTTCACATGTGAAAGTTCAACGATTTCGTTGTTTCAACCAATATCAATGATTGATTCTAGCCAATCATTTGGTATTATACTGATAATTTGTAAGTAGCAAATAACAGCAATATATTCTTCCCAGAAGATAAAATGAAAAATCGAATAGATAGGTCAATCTCAATGTTGAGGGGGAAACTTTGAATGCATATTTTTAGTTCTCTTGGTTCAACCCCCTAGGACGGGTAGATGTTACCCTTTGAACCATGTATGGAAAGGACGTCAAGATGCACATTATTTCAAAGGGCGTTCAATTATCTTTCAAACTGTACCCTAGTTGATGATTTTATGATTAGCAGTTTCCGAAAAATTCCGTTCTAAACTTACAGAAGTAATTGGAACATGCCTGCACTGAAATGCATTCAAAATCTTCCTAGCATTTGGACTGAAAGGGTCAATACAATATCAACCTGAAAACCATGCATATCAGTCGAGATATCAGTGCAGCCATGTTCTATTTACTTCTGTAAGTTTAAAACTACATTTTTCGGAAACTGCTTATCAAAACATGAAGAACTAGGGTATAGTTGAAAAAAGACTTGAACGCCCTTCAAAATAATGTGCATCTTGACCTCCTTTTTCACATGAGGTTCCAAGGGTAACATCTACCCCTCCTAGGGGGTTGAACTAACAGCGCTAAAAATATGCATTTCAAGTGTCTTCCTTAGAAATGGAATTGACGTGTCTTTCCGATTTTTCATGTGATTTACTGAAAGGAAGAAATTATCGGGTGACTGCTCGACAGAAAGTGATTAACTAGAAATTGAATGCCCTTCAAAATGATGTGCCACTCGACCCCCCTTCCCATTTCAGATTCTAAGGGTAAGATCTACCCTTCCTAGGGGGTTGAACCAAGAAGGCTAAAACTAATCTTTTCAAGTGTCCCCTTGAAAATAAAATCGACCTGTTTGTTCGATTCCTCATATTATTCACTGGAAGAAAGATATTGAGGGTGGGAAGTTTTCAAAATGTGACCCTGTATATCTATCTATGTGATATATCGAAGACTGGAACCTTTGGCACGATAATACACTACACTGTTTTACTACTAACCAAACCGATTTTTTTTAACGCCTCGACACGTGTTTCGCTAACTATGTTAGCATCTTCAGGAGAAGATTAAAACTAAATATCCTATTCTAGTGTGCTGTTTATATACTAATGGCGTCAATGGGTATGATATCAAAATAGTAGATAAATTAATACGTAGACATAAATTTAAGTTAACACTTCGATATTCTACGACTTTTCAAGCGGATAAAAAGAACTCTAGAAGAACCCAATCCCGTTCAATCCCAAGTATACGAAGGGACTTGATAAGGTTTTGAAAGCGTATATCAGTCTGGGTCAAAATTAGGCAATTTATTAGGCAATCCGAAAGATGAAGTGGGCACACTTGAAAAGTCGGGAATATACGAAATAAGTTGTAATGCTTGTGATAAAACATATATAGGCCAAACCAGGCGACCCATAAAAACAAGGTTCAAAGAACACATAGCCCATTTAAAATATGGCAGGTTAGATAAATCTTGTGTAGCCGAACATATGTTCAATCACAATCATAACACACATAATTACTAACCTAAAATTAGTTAAGCAAGTTAATGACATTAGAAAACTAGACGCATATGAAAACTTAGAGAAGAATAGTAATAGAGTAATGAATAAGGATAATGGACCTATTCCATATAGCCCTCTATATAGTTTAGTGAAATTAGGTACATGGTACATCAGGCGTGTTCGTTTGTCCTTGCTCAACCTGCTGAACTTGATTTTCTTCTATGACTTACTTTGTTTACATCATGCCATGAACAGAGACAACTATGGAAAAAGAATCAACTTTAGCAAGTTTAGCAATACAAACGAACAGGCCTCACGCATACAATGATTTGGTGGAAATCGGTTGCAATTCCTGACTCCGAATGGCCAAAAAAAGAACTCTTCTTACAAATATGTGAGCAGTTATTCAGTGCAGTAGCGGCAACAGCTGGTTTAGAAAGAATTTTTTCGAGTTTTGGAATAGTTCAATCTAAATTGAGAAATCGTCTAGGCAACGAAAAAGCCAGTAAGCTAGTATTTATTTTTAAATGTTTAAACCCAAATACAGATAAAAAAGCCAAAAGCTTGGACTGGATCTCGTCGAATGATGAATTAGTTGCCTTGAGTGAAGATGATAATATTGATAATGATGATTATATTTGTCTTTCTCGGTTTTGCAATCCTTAAAAACTTATCAAACGACAAGTTTTTTATATTACCATATATTACATATTTTCGGAAAAATATTATTTTTTGTTTCGTGTTTTGTTATTTCAAATTAAACCGAGAATTAAACTGAAGTTTGATTTTTGTTTTTACCAAAATAAAGGTATTTTATATTGTGTTTATTTTTGGCATATCAGCCTAGGAACAAAATTTCTGATATATATCGGATATATATCCGATATTATGATATTTTGATATATATATATAAATATCATGATATTTGCCAACCCTGAGTAATGACGTAATGGACGATTTCTTCAAATACAAGCAGGGGTCATGTGACACTTCGTTTGAAAGGTCTACTGATCGTCTATTCAACAGTCAAAATTTTGCATAAGAATATTGCAATTAAAATGGATTATCATTTGATTAACTGAATCTTGCAGAGGTCTGCTACTGAGAATTGAACATCGAAGGGTCGTCTAGTTGAAAAAATACACAATAAACAAAGTTCTGAACTCTAGTTTTTGGATTTTTTTCGGAAGTCGTCTTGTTTTGAAATGAATTTATTCCATACATTTGCATCATACTGTATAAGCAGCACACTAGAATAGGATTTTTAGTTTTAATCTTCTCCTGAAGATGCTAACATAGTTAGCGAAACAAGTGTCGAGGCGTTAAAATAAAATCGGTTTGGTTAGTGGTAAAACAGTGTAGTGTAACTATGTGATATTTATTTTTAGCTCTGGTAGCTTTAGGATTTTTTGCATGCTGGTGCCCATTTCATGCTCAGAGACTCATATCCGTCCATCTCGATGAGGATTACTACTCAGAAGAAATCAATTACTGGATGTACGTTGTCACCGGAATTTTGTACTACTTCTCATCAACTCTCAACCCGATCTTATACAACGTCACTTCTCTGAGGATGAGGAACGCTTTCAAAGAAGTAATGTGCGGGGTGAAACGAACGAGAAGAGACAAATTCATGAGGACAAAGTGCAATGGTGCCACTGGACACAGACAATGTTCCAATACTAGCGAAGTTGACGATGAGAAAGCAAGTTTGGTGAGAAAGAAGTCGATAATGTCAGTGATTCAAAAGATGAGTAGCGCTACAACTATTGTGGATATTACAGAAGAAAATAACTACCAGAGATAGAGGTTACTTAGATATTTGGTAACAGATGGACATCCTACCAATATATGGAACGTTGTTTGAAGAAATGCTGGTATCGAATAATATAATTATTGTAATATAGCCAATTAATATTAATTTACGATTGTACATACTAGTCGAATTTACTCTACATACCTTTTTCCATGGATCTTTCAATGTATCAGTAGAATCTGAATCAATCATCATTCATTTGAAATTACCGAAAATGATGTTTGTAGTAGGTCTTACCACTGGACACAGACAATGTTCCAATACTAGCGAAGTTGACGATGAGAAAGCAAGTTTGGTGAGAAAGAAGTCGATAATGTCAGTGATTCAAAAGATGAGTAGCGCTACAACTATTGTGGATATTACAGAAGAAAATAACTACCAGAGATAGAGGTTACTTAGATATTTGGTAACAGATGGACATCCTACCAATATATGGAACGTTGTTTGGAGAAATGCTGGTATCGAATAATATAATTATTGTAATATAGCCAATTGGTATTAATGTACGATTGTACATACTAGTCGAATTTACTCTACATACCTTTTTTCATGGATCTCATAATGTATCAGTAGAATCTGAAACAATCATCATTCATTCGAAATTACCGAAAATAATGTTTGTATTAGTTCTTGATGACGTCATACACCGACATTCACTATATCTATCATATTTCATGAAAATAATTCACTTCGTACTTAGAGGTGTTCTGAAATATACGCAATTCATAATCTGAATCGTACGTGTACACTTGCATTGGATTGTATAGGGCCATCATATACAGTTAAAATGTTGAGTTCATTGAAAAATGATTGTTGTGAATATATGAGAATTAAACTTCCTATCTCATACAGTGAGTATTATCATGAAGAACAAGATACCTTCATCGTCTCCGAAGATTCCTGAAATATAAATTTATATCATTGTCATATCATACGAAATAGTTATTTATGCAACAAGTGCAAAAAGTGAATGTTTATTGCACTCGACGTGAAATTGTCCGACGAGGCCGTCAGGCCGAGTTGGACAACACGCCGAGTGCAATAAACAATTTTTGCACGAGTTGCATACAACATTTTTTCTACGTTCATGCAAAATGCAAAAAATGATTTATTGTGGTGCGGCACTAGGTACAATTCTGTTGATTGTCAGAATTAATTTTTGACTGACGTTTCTATAACCACAGTTGCAATATAAAAAATGTTTGCCATGATGACAGCACGTTGAAGTAGAATGACAGATGAGTGCAATAAAAACTTTATTGCACTAAGTGCAATAAAGAACTTCTTTTTCCACTAAATATAGTTCAATAAAGTTCTGCTTTTTGCATGAATGTAGAAAAATGTTATAATTACTTACTGAATAAAAATACTGAAAACATTTTAATTTTTTTTCACTCTCTATTTTTTTTATTTCTCTCTATTTTGTGATATACGTATTTCTTCCAACATTTGAAGAAGGACCTACCTGGATTGGATAAATCAGCACAAAAACAATTTTTCCAATGAATACCCCTATGAAATCTCTAACAATTATCGTCATTAATGCCAAGCTCTATTCTTCAAAATCCTCATAATTTTACATTTACATTTACACTTTTTCTGTAAATAGTAAGTCTATAAAATCTGCTAAACGTGCTAAATCTGCTAAACGTTGTGTTATTTAGAATGTTTGTATTCATGAAACTTCGAGCATTGTGACTATTTCGTAGTAGAAGTAAATTTTTTTCTTCAACAACTGGAGGTTTAGCTTCACTTCATACATAATTAGGAGTTGCCTATAGATCGAATAACACGTTGGGAAGGTTCATCAAGAATAATCAAGGCAAAACTTCTGAATTCGAAAAATCCGAGGTATACAAACTTAAGGTGTAAATCGGCCAGACAAGTCGAATTTTTAATCAGCGCATTCATGATCATCAGATGTTTATTCTCAAGAAGAAAACGAATTCAACATACGAGAAGCATATATTAAAAGAAAACGATGAAAATGTACAGAAGAAAAGGTACTGCTAGCATATTTCTTAAAAGAGTAAAAAAAGTTTAAAGCATCGTCATTGTGGATTCGATGATATGAAAGCCACAATTGCAACAGACATTCTGAAAATACACTTCTAAATTCAGCTTTCTATGCGAAGAAATTTTCTTTGAATCCCTTAGGATTTAAAGTAATTTCAAATCCCTAGGGATTTGAAGTACGACTTTTTTCCCCGAAAACAGGGAATCCCTGAAGTGCATACAAGATATTTCATATGACTGAGTTAGTCTTCAAGAACACCACCACTGTCACAATTAGAAGAATCACGGCGAAATATTGAAATGAAACATGTTCTGAACGTCTTATGATATAAATATAACAAAATTAACAAGATGATGGCATTAGCATAACCAAATAGGTAGCTTATGTTTCCTATAGTGTTGAGAAAAGCATAATTTGACATAATACCATTGACATGTGAGAACAGGAAAATCATGAAAAACAAGTTAGGCAACCAACAGAAGAAATATGATAAAATCAAGTTGAACTCTAATTTATTCTTCACGACAAGTATACTCGATGTTTTCAATTTAATAATTTTCAACAAACATATTATCAATATCAGTATGAAAACGATGGAGTAACCCAACAAATATAATAGGATTGATAAAGGAAAACTTATATCGCTCAAACACATCGAAGTATTCGTTACAGCAAGTATGAACAAAAATATCCAGACAGTTCCTATAATAATCCTGTGGGAGTTTCGACATTTCACCGCGTAAGCTGTCTGATTCAAAAACGTCATGACGTACCAATCAACCAAGAGAACAGCTACAAAAATCAAGTTTCCTAGTAAAAATACAAAGTAATTTTCATCCCAAAGACAAATCATCTCCGCACTAACGTAGTATTCTCTGAACCCCATCAGGTTGAACACTGTTAGAACAGATAAAGTTGTGAGAAAATTGCAGACATCCCAGTTGGCTATGTAAAAGAAAGTTCTTGTATGGAGAACCGGGAACTTGAATATGGTGTATAGCATCAAGATATTGGCTATCGCTGCCATAATTGAGACCAATAGCAACGGAATTTCTGTAGCTAAGTAAGGTGATAAGTAGAACTCTTCTGTTGGATCGAAGGTCGAGTTGAGGCTCAGGTTTTCGAATGGGACATCCATGTTTCGTTGAAACCTGAAACATAAAATATTGCATTCGTGGGCACCTACCAAGCAATTTGTAAACAGATATGATGCTCGGAGAATACACAAGTTCACATCAAATTTGGATTGAAAAATCTAACCTCAAAAAAGTTATGTTCAAAACTACTAGGTACGAATCGTGTAACTAGCAACCTCTATGAGATTCAGATATGAAAATAAATGCATGCGATGTGTCAGATTCCATGAAACTTCCATACAAAATTTCATCACAATGCTGCCAGTAGTTTCAACATAATCGTGAAAAATGTGATAAAAAATAATTTTTCAACACCTTGTATCATGAAAAAGGATGCCGTTACGACATTTTTTTACTGAGCAAACCCAACTTATTTTGCAATGTTCTACCTACCCTAGCAAGGGGGTTAGGTTTTTTTGAAACACCCTGTATAGGGACATATTTTCGTTTCACAGAACTATACCTTATGATTGGGATATGTAAATGGTAGTGAAAAATATTATCACCACGGGAACTATAATCTTGGCCCCTGGGTGATAATGATAATCTTCGATACCTTGGTGTATATAATATACAGGGTGGAGACTTTAACTGAAATAAATTCGCTACTGAGGAAGTGAATCATTTTTCATAAAAATTCGCGAGACACATCAACGTTTAAATGTATTTACCTACATTTGGCCAGCAATATGAAGAATATAACCCTTCAGGGGTAGCTAGAATCAACCCCAACATGTTTATTTCAAATGCAACTTTAAGGCTTGCGACCGATCATTAGAAAGCTGGTTGAAAGAGGAATCTATCGTACTGATCATATTTGAGATTGCAGTAGAGATTGTAGATTGTAGATGGGTCGTATAGGCTGAGAGACCTCTCGATCACTGCGACCTAGAAGATCTATTGTAATTACCCCTATCTAGTTTTGGTCCTCTAACCCTAGACTTCTGATGAAGCCTACGATTTTCCTGACGGTCGACTTTTCTACTTCAGCAGGGGTGAGATAGACCTGTTCTAGGTGGTCCAGCCTTCGGCGGACTAATACTTCACATGAGCAAAGTATGTGTTCCGCGGTTTCGGTCGCGTTGTTACAAAAGCGGCAAGTGTCAGTCTCCGCCAGACCCATCTTTTTGAGGTGGTACCTCAGAGGGCCGTGTCCTGTGAGAAATCCTGTTATAAGCTTTAGCTCTGGTTTGCTGAGGCTGAGTAGCTCTTTGGCTCGGTTCTGCGAATGGTTGATGAACCTTTTCGCTTGTCGTTGACCTGGAGTTGCTCTCCAGTAGGAGGACTTTTCAATTTATTCCCATTTCTCGAGTTCTCCCTTCAGGTGACATTTGCTTATCCCACAAGAAGGCTCAGGACCAAAAAGTGCAGATGCTGCACCTTTTTTTGCAAGGCAATCAGCTGCCTCATTTCCTTTGATTCCTTCATGCCCTGGAACCTACATAAGTGTGACTTTGTTGCCCTTCCCCAGTTGCATGAGTGTTTCAAAGCAGTCCCATGTAATCTTTGATGTGAAAACGAATGAATTTCGGGCTGCTTGGCTGTCTGAGCAGATATATATGTTGGCACCCCTCAGACCTTTGCGCAGGCACCTTTGGGTGCAAAGGTTGATGGCATGTATTTCAGCTTGGAAGATAGTGGGGGAGTGACCTAAGGCTTCAAATAGCCTACATCCGGGTCCATATACACCCGCGCCTACCCCTTCTTCCATTTTCGAACCATCGGTGTACCAAACAAGGGAACCTCTGTCCAGTTGAGGCTCAGCGGAACCGTACCTAGGGCGGCTTTTTATAACCACTTCGAAAGTATGATCGAAACTGAGCCTGGCTGGCATTATGTCCGATGGTTTGGTAGCAGATGCCATTTGTACTTCTTGTAGAATGATCATGTGACTAGTGACATCACCTGGTCTGGCAAATTCAGTGGAGTTCAGTCTGTATGCACTGAGAGCTGCAGTCCTCTTGATAAAAATATGCAAGGGTAGTAGGTCAAGCATAGCTTCCATTGCAGATTGCAGTAAGTTTTGGGGTCGCATAAAATCAAAATATAATTTCAAAGTTTAATATATTTTCAACATATTTTTATAAAAATTTCGACTTTTAATGAATGTGATATAGGGCATTTTCACCAGTTTGCAATAAATCTTCGTTTCAAACTGTGAAAACACTGGAATACAATAGCAGATCAATTGTTCGACACACATTTTAAGCGATTGATACGTTGAAAAAAAATTGAATTTCGAAATTATATTTCAATTTTATGCAACCTCTGAACGTATGGAAAACAAAAATTTGACGAGTACGCTGGATTCCTCTTTC